TATGCTGTGGAAATATAACTGTGTAAATGTGCATTACATTTGTTATAGTGCATTTGTTGCTGATGTAAAGATGCGTGTTTAATTATGTAAAGACGTGTTGCATTTGCTTTGCCTTACCTGCCTAAGGCACCTGATTGGTCGAGTGAAGAGTTGGACAGATAATTACTGGGCAGAGAAAGGATAGCAGGGCTGGCAGGAAGAGAGAGTCGGGAAGAAAGCTGGGCTTGAGAGAGAAAGAATGAGAGAGGAGGTGAAAATGTGGGGCAAATGCAAACAAGAAGCCAGGCAGTCTCCAGCCGGCCACAGAAGCAGTGAACGAACATAAGATATACAGGAGGAAAGAAAAGTAAAAATCACCGAGGCAAAAGGTAAAGATAGCAGGTTGAGCGTAAGCTAGGCCAAGCTTTGAAAACTAGTAAGAAGTCTCCGTGTGTCGTGATACGGGAGCTGCTTGGTGGCCGGGAAGAAAAGGCCTGGTACCCTAACCCTTCCCTGTGGACTCCCGCAGGTCTGCCATGTCCCGATTTCTCCACTTTTCCTCTCCAGAGCCCTTTACTCCTCCTCCTCCAGCCATAGAAACCTTAACATGGAGCTCATCCTCCCTCTTCTTCCCTGCCTAGCGACTCCATTTTCTTGTTAAGACATGCTCCCACGCCTGCGCATGCGCAAATGGCGCCTCCCGGGAAGCCACGGTCACGTGGGTTCCTATAGCAGTTCCTCCCAATCAAATTTATTTATACCTTTTTCTTTTGTAAGAGACGTGAGCCATTCTCCTTCCCTAAAGTTGGAAACCTGGAAAGTAAGTGGTTTCAGTTATATCCAGAGAAGTTAAATCTGCTATCATGGTATCTTGCACACAGTAGGCACAACTGTAGACCTTAATCCTAACACTATCCGAGTGAAGCAGGCGTCACTGTTGCTGCTTTTCAACTGAGCCTTAGAAGGGTGGCCTGATGCTGCAAGGGTTTGAACCAGGGTTTGGCCCCAGGTCTTCGGCTCTTAGTGCCATACGAATTCTAGGGCCCCCAAGTGGTTTTAAATATACAGTGTCTTCAATTTTATGAAAATAGCTTGTCTATGACTCAGCCTGTGTTCTTGCTATACATGATTCTGATGCACACTGCATTCACAGATAAGAGTTGCTGAAAGGCCAATATGTAATCAAAGACAATCATGACGGATGTATTAAGAATGGGGGCCTCCCGCAACAAGGAAGTTTAAGGACTCCAAAGTGCCTGGTCCTGGTTGCTCACTGTGAATCCTCTCCATTGGAGGGAATGCTTCAGGCTGTTCAAAGGTGACCAAAAGTTTTCTTTTGTTTTAAAAATAGACACATACTACCAACTACTAAATGGACACACAAAATACAATGCATTATTATACACCAGAAAAATGAATGAAGTCAACCAGGAGGTGGTGACCCACACCTTTAATCCCAGCAATGAAGAGGCAGAGGCCAGCCTGGTCTACAGAGTGAAATCCAGGAGAGCCAGGGATACTAAAAGAAACCTGTCTTCAACACAGCAATGCAGTCCTGTAACTTGTACAACATGGATGAACCTTAAAACATCTATGCTAAGTGAAAAAAGCCAGACCTAGAAGACCACACAGTCTATAGAGTACCCACCTACGAGAGAGTTCTTAAGTAAACAAGACCCTGGAGAATGAAAGCAACATCATGCATGCAGGGAAAGGGGCAACTAATGCATCTGGCGCTTCGTGGGGTGTCTGCAAGACGGAGTAGTGGTTGGCAAAACACTGTGTATTTACCACCACCGAAATGTACTTTTAAAATGGTTTAAATCCCATGTGTGGAGGCACACACCTTCAATCCCAGCACTTGGGAGGTGGAGGCAAGCAGATTTCTTGAGTTCTAGGCTAGTCTGGTCTACACAGTGAGTTCTAGGACAGCCAGACAGCCAGAGATACATAGGGACCCTGTCTCAAAACAAAACAAAAACAAAAACAAAAAAAAAAAGGGTTTAAGTGGTAAAATTTATACAACATATATTTTAGCACAACCTAACAACAACAAATTAGAAGCTAGAAACAAGCAGCTGACCTCTCCAGCGGCTTCTAGAAAACAGGAACAGCACACTGACCACCAAGTCTGATAAAGCCTAGAGCTCCAATACCCGATACAAAGGCTGCAGTGACGCTATGCTGTGTGTGGGAATTTTGCTGAAAGAATTGGAGTCTAGAGCCGGATGTGGTACCGCACTGGGGAAGCCACGGCAGGAGGACCGAGTTCAAGGTCAGAAAGGCCCTTTAAGAAAAACCCAGAGGGAATTAAGAGAATCCACTTTAGGGGGGGGGGGGCTCTCACCACAAGGGTGAGTATGCGGTGAGCACAACACTGTGCATACCAAAACATTAAATGTACTCAGTAAAAATGAAAGAAATTAAGTATCTGCAAACCTCTTAGGACATTTTATAGAAAAGGGTAAAGAAAAACAATTTGAGTTACGTACGAAGATATCAAAACCAGATCCATAATTTGAAAACCTTACCCTAGTATGGTATTTTCTGGAACAAAATTGTTGGGCCCAGTGTGCAGCTCCCACCCCTTGACTGTGGTTTGTCAAGGTCTCTGGGATGCTCCTGGAGCTGCCATCCCCCTCCCCCATTGGTAGGGCACATTGGTGGGTGAGTCCTGCTTCCCGGACCTCAGGAATTTGCCACATCTTTCTTTAGTCCGTGAAAACAGCTGGCATATGAAGGGTGGCTGGTGGGGATGGGCCCTTCCCTGCAGGCAGCTGCTCTGCCTTTGTAGCCGACCCCAAACCCACAGAACTGCCTTCACGTCCATCTGGACAGAACAGTGGAAATGATCTCATCCTACTGTCTTGGCTCTTCAAGTTTCAGCGGCTCCACAGTCGACCGAAGTATTTGGAGGTTCCAGATGGCTTAATTCACGGAAGGGCTCCAAGTAGCCAGCTCCCTGATGAGGCTGTTCTTACTAAAGCCTCTCCCTCATCCACAAGGAAATGGTGATAATACTGTCTGCACCAACCCAGGCCCTGCTGTGCCTCGGAAGCTTACCTCTTCCAACCAGGTGGTACAGTCCTGGTGAAGAGAGCCTCTTCCTGCACCTTTGGGGTGACTCGAAGCAGCACCCAGCCTGCATTGCCTTCCAGGCACCCTCCACTTTTATTCCAACAGCTCCCAGCATCCTTTGCAGGGCCAGCCTGTCACCACGATTGGCTCAGGCGGCATTGGAATAGCGTCCTTGATGTATCATGAGGACCATCGGGTCTGAGCTCTGTGGGAACTCTTTCTCTAGGGACCCCCAAAGTCACAGGACTGACTGCCGGGTTCATCACCGTCAATACTCGGGAGGCTTGTCTGAGGGTGAAGATACAGGGGGCGCACAGGCGGAGATGGCAGTCGCGACGCATGCTTGTCGCCCTCAGGAAGCCGCTGGTCCCAGCGGAAAGAATGCTGCTGTGCACCTGTCGATGTCTCTTTGTCTCCCAAGGCGTCAAACACGCTAGGACCACTCTCCCATGGCAATATCCCAACCCCACAAAACACACCTTTGCTGACAAGCTGTTTGAGGCTATATCTAGTGTGCTTCTGTGAAATTTCTGTTTCCTGCGTTAAAAAGGCCTTTATTATTGTGGTAAAATTGCCAAGATTTACCGTGTTGGCTCTTTTAAGTGTTAACTCGCTGGCATGAAGTGTCTCCTCACTGTTGGACAATGTTATCATGACTGCCCACTTCCAGCACCTTTTCTTCATCCTACACTGAATCCCTGCCACCAATTCATGCCAGCTCCCATCTCTCCTGCCTTCAGCCCCCCCCCCCCGGGACCATTTTAATGTCTCTAAGAATGCCTGCATTGGTAAATAGCACATGAGTAGAAATCCATCCCTAATTGTGACTGACTTACCTCACTTCCAAGGTTCACAATGAAGAGTCTGCCAGCGCGTCCTCCTTCCCACTGCAAATACACATTTTGTCTCTCCCTGTGTGGACATGGGTGCTACTTCTGGATTTCTGGCTGTTATAACAACACCACAGTGAAAAGCGGTGTAAAAGCATCTATATGAGTCCTGTCCAGTTACAAGCATCGTGTATCCGCTGTGGGATGGCTGGCTATGTGGTAACTCTGCATGAGGCTTAAAGGAACTGTTACATTGTCTTACGTGGTTCTCCATCGCTAACTTCTCCACCAACATGCTGTCAAGGTTCCAACTGCCCCATCTTCCCACTAACACCTGTCTTTGAAAACCGTTTAGGGGCTGGAGAGATGGCTCAGTGGTTAAGAGCATTGCCTGCTCTTCCAAAGGTCCTGAGTTCAATTCCCAGCAACCACATGGTGGCTCACAACCATCTGTAATGAGGTCTGGTGCCCTCTTCTGGCCTGCAGGCATACACACAGACAGAATATTGTATACATAAGAAATAAATAAATAAACAAGTAAACAAATAAATAATATTTAAAAAAAAGTTTAAAGGAGGCACTGTGTGACCCTGGGAAGAGACCTCGTTTCCTCTTTAGAAGAGAACCGTTGGGCTAATGAAGCATCAAAGCCAGAATCTCCGGCCTTTGTAAACAGTCCTGGGCTCTTCAGCAGCGTCTTGATAACTCCACCCTCACACCACCCTCAACACCAAAATGCTGGGCTGCCCATCTGCCGTGGAGACGGAATGACACCCATAGCTACTACCTTTCCTGATTAGAAGGGAAGATGCTGGCCGCATATACTTGTTGGTAGCCACCTCGACATGTCCCTCCTCAGCTCTAGTGTCTGCAGTGAAAACAAAGCCATTTATTTTCCTGGACCCCCAGAGTCCTGCAAGCGGCAATATCATGTCGCAAGGGTGCGGCCCCAGGAGATGTGTGACCAGCTCCCTCCTCTGCATCCCCTTTCCCTGCACTCTGCCAGCGACAGAAAACCTGGAGAAACGTTCCCTTTAGAGCTGAAGATGACAGGGGGAGGTCGGGGTGGGGAAGGAGCCAGTGAAGTGTGACACCCAAGACCTTGTTTCTTCCTTGTAAGGACTTTATTTCTGTATCATCATGGTCTCAGACAGACTCTGAGGCACCATCATTTGTCTCAATTTGGCATCCTCATGGGTTTTTGTTTCTTTTTTTGTAGTGCTTTTCCTTAAACAAGAAAATGTCGAGTGAGCTTTGTACACCGTCAGTTAACGTTTTAACAATAACTTAAAAACGGTGCCGTCGTCTCACTGGTACAGGGGACCAACAGGAACAGTGCGGTACAAGGAACTTTACAACAACTCACAGTGGGTCAGACTGACGCACACACACACGCAGGTGAGGGCCGGGACGGAGCAGTGTATGTACAGGCGCCCGAGGATGTGCAGCAGGCAGAGTTCATGGGTCACACAGTGAGTCTTAAGTCCATCTCATGGACTCCGTACCTTTTCACAATTGTTGACCTGCGTCCTTCCAGATGACAGATGCTCTTGTCTTCTGGCCTCGTGGCCTTTTCACTACAAAGAGTTCACAGAGTTGGGCAGTCTCAAGCATTAAAAAAGACTCTTTTTTTAACACTGAACAGAATGAAGTTTAACTTAGAGTGCTCTGAACTCAATGGTGAGAACCCCAAGCGTAACGAAACAGTGCAAATTGAACAGAGGCAGCAGGATTGGGAACAAGGTTGCTCGGAATCTCTTAAGATGTACATATTAAAACTCTTAAATCTACTTATACCTTATTTACCTTTTTGTTTAATATATTGTGTGTAAAAAAAGATGGAGGCAAAAATAGTTTTCTGAGCTATGAAAAAAATTATTACAGGCACATTTTTTTTTTTTCTGTTTCATGGCCGAAACATCTCAGTTTACCAGGTTGAACATTCAGCAGCCGTGTGTGTTTAAAGACATCCATTGACCTTGAGAAAGGCTACATCTTCCCTCTGGGGCAGAGCTGGGTGGATGGTGATGGTCTGGTTGTGCAAATTACAGTGAATTATTCTGGTGGTAATTCGTGCAAGCTTGCATCACGTCACGGGTGTGGCTTCTCCTCCGGTGGCTCCTCCTCACTGTGTTCCTCCAAGGACACTCGGTCTCCAGGTGACTGAGTCGGTGAGGCGGCGGGGGAGGGTGGGGCCCAACGGGATGGAAGGCGGCGGTTGGCTGGTCTCTCTGGCCTGGAGAAGCAGGGCTCTAGGGATGGCGCGAGTGCAGAACAAGGTAGTTCCTTCAGAGCCGAGAGAGGGAGACAGCGTTATTCAGACCTGGAGTGTCACGTGGGCCGTGGCCCCCAACACACATCACACATGCTGAAGTCGAATGGAACAGCCCAGGAGGCTACAGCATCTGAACGATTATGGCATGCGTGGAGAGGAACCTAAAGCGACCAGTACAACATTCCACGGGGATGACTGGCGACACAGGACACGTGACCTTTTACACTGCGGCAAAATACAACAAAACACAGGGACACGGTTCTGCGTGTAGGGCATCTCCAGAACTGGGCTCGAACACAGAGAAGATGAAGTAGCAATGGGGTCACCCTGTCTCAGTCCCATCCTTGAGCTCCTACTGAGTCAGTCTCGCAGGACCTCAGTCTACTGAGGCCCACAGAGCCCTGGGGTGGAACCCAGCTGTATCAGCAAAGAGAGCCAAACAGAACTCTGCCTCTGTTTATCCCAAGCTGACTGGCGGAAGGCTAAACAAACTCCCACAGTGTGGGGGAAAAAATGCTGCATGCAGAAACTTTAATTGAGGTCTAGTTTTCTTTCACGATCGCCACCGCGGCAGCAGCCTTACCAACTAGGACTAGACCGTGCTCACAAGTCGGTGTTTCAGCCACTGCAACAGGCTGAGTGCTGACCACGTGACACAGTTGTTTGCTTGTTTAAAAGGGCCGTGGAGCTACGTGTTCCTAGCCTGCAAGCCAGGGAACAGGGATGTCCAAACGTGGAAGTTACGGACACACAGAAAGGCAGAAAGCTGTGTCGCGCGGTGAACCATGGATGATGCTCAAACAGGTCCGGAGGGGGTGATATTTATGTGATGAAGGGCACAAGCATGATGTCATGGAATTAGGGCCCACAAAGGAAGTCAAGAGGCGAGCTAGAAGATTTAGACATGACGATGAAGAAGCCAGAATGAAGAGATTAGGAACAGAAGGGATGGAAGGACAGATGCCGTGTCCAGTGGGCAGGCGATGGTTTTCGGGACAAGATGAAGACATGACAGGGATGCTCAGAGATGGCCAGTGAGGATGTCATGACCCAAGGGCAGCAAGGGACCCACAGGCTTCTGTAAGAGCGGTGGAGTAATGGGGCAGTCTTTCCCTCATCCCTGAGGGGCCAGCAAAAAAAGAAAACACTGAGACCATTCCATCAGATGCCTCCTTTTGGTAGGCACCTTCCCTGACCTAGGAGAATCTTCCCCGGGCCGTTTATGCCAATGGTGCATCCACAGCCAGGATGTACTCATAGCTGCCATGTGTGTACACATGAGTCAAGTGGAACTGTATCTGTGTCTCCTCACCTCACCTCACAGTACCCGGAGGAGGGTGGGTACAGCTTGTGAAACCCACGTCCCTGCTCCCACCACTGCAGGAGTGAGCATGCGCACGTTTGCTGCCGTTGCTGTGGCTGCCGCTACAGGTCCATCCAGCCCCTTCCTCCCACCGAGGCTGAACAGAACCAGCTCAGAGACACCTGTCTGTGCAGGAAGAAATGTGCAGCCACGACGTCACGGAAACTAACATTTCCTTGGCAAGACACCAGCACACATCAACGAGCGATGTTGGCCTCTACCCATAAGCCAGTGAGGTGGCTGTGTGGGAAAACGGCCCTTCCCATTACTTCCTTGGCCATTCACCCTCTCCCCCTGCCATGGCAGCTATGTCTCCCTCAGCCCCAAGACAGCATCTCACTATGTAGCCCTGGCTGGCCACAAACTCACCAATATCCATTATCTCTGCCTCCCCAGGGCTGGGATTAAAGGTGTGCGTCACCACATACAGCATGACTCTGTGTTAGTTCTTCTGGTAGATTAGGAGGGTGACTACATCCTTGACTCAAACCAAATGTGTGCTTCCTCACAGGCCTCCCTCAGTTCAGGCTCTGAAGGCCAATCCCAGAGTTCTCAAAAATACAGGGAACAGGGATGTCCCTGCTACGATCCATTCGGCCAGTCCTTAGCAAGAACTTACTTTTCGGCCAATAGACTCACTTGAAAAGACAAGATACATTTGGACTTATTCTTCCTGGTATGGTGGTATGAAAAAAGGAAGAAAAAAAAAAACAAAAACAAAACAAAACAGAGAAGGCTCAACATAGCCCAGCACACAGCGACACACAGATGTAACTGAAATGCCAGCGAGCAGCAGTGGGTGGGTTGGAACCATAGACGCTGGGCACAAAGACTTGAGTTGTGCCTGAGATGCCTCCCCCCACCACCCCACCCCCGTCAATGTTCTTTCTCAACTACAAACTCCATGAGAGGGGAAATCCCAGCAGAATCTACATGCTAAATGGTTGACCCTGGAGGCACTCAAAGCGGGGTGTCTGCACTCAGTGTCTGTTCCTGGGGATGAGCGTGGAGTTCCACAGATGGTGATGAATGAGACCATGAGTACATCAGCTACACACACGACTCTCTGGGTGGAGGGAAGTGAGGAAGGAGGCACTTACAGTGTGAGGCAGGCAGGGCTAGAGTCCCCACGGGGCAGTTAGTAAGACAGTTTGGTTCTGGACAGGCAGACAGAAAAAAGGAGAGAAAACCAAGTCGGTTGGAAAGTTCGTTTCAAACAGAAGAACAGTGCAAGTATAGTCCCTGCTCCAAGGTGGCCTCGAGAGAGAACGGTGGTCCCTGGGTTCAAGCAGAGGCAGGCCGGGTAGAGGCAGGAGGAGGCGGCAATGGCACTTAAGACACAGGACTGACTTCTGCCATGTATCAACAAGCTGAAGAAGGAAGCAGAACCAAGGACGGGCAGTGGTCCCCTAGCTCTCTGATGGCGCTTACGTGACCAAGGGAGCGGTGAAGGTGCCTCGGCTGGGTACACAGCCTGGCTTGTTCTGGTCACAAGCTATGGCTGCCTGTGCTCACACGTCCCCTCCACCGTATTAGCTCTAGGAGGGAAGGATGCCAGAGCATTCTCTTGGCACAACTCTGCTTTGCTGCCAAGCTTCAAGAGAGGGAGAGGCTAGAGCCACTTGTGGGGTGAGAGAGAAGCAAGGAAGGGATCTCATGTGTGGAGATCCCGGTGGCAATGCCACACAGGGTGCTTGGCACAGGCAGGGAAAACACCAGCGGCTCCGCTGCTCTGAGTGCCAAAGGCAGACTCCCACAAATTCACCGAGATGAGGCGTGATTCCCAACGCGCCCATTACGTGGGGTCCAACCAAACAGGATTCTGCTGGCACCCAGAACAAGCAAGCTGCTGAGAAAAGGGGGAGATGAGCCCATGGCCTTGAAATGCTGCCAGTTGAGTCTCCCTGCGGGTTCTTGGGCTCTGAAACCGTCTGTGCACCTGTCGTGACTCTCAGCTTGTTTGGGAGCCGATAAGATGCGCACACGTGTGTGTGTGTGTGTGTGTGTGTGTGTGTGTGTGTGTGTGTGTGTTTGCATGCACGTGCACAAATAAGAATCTAAACACACGCTTTCTGGAAAATAAGGGCAGTGAGGGGTGACCGCTGTGACAACATGGGTTTTGCATCACAGGGCTTTGACTCCATTAAAGCATGTGGCATCTCTAGTACCTCTGGAGCACCCATTTTCTCACTCGCTGTCAAGAATACAAAGGTCCTTTGGTTCCCAAACTTAATTTCTCCGTGGTCTCTAAGATGAGTAGAAACTCAAGACAGCCAATTGACTCAAGACGCCTCAAAACGCGTTCTGTTTTACCCGAAGGCAACATACTCATCTACAAACAGACCCTCCCAAGCCACAGCTGAGGGCTCCTCAGGTTCGGGGGTGAAAAGATCAGAGGAGACACCATTTGCTACCTGAAAACTCTTATCCTGCGACGTCCTTTCTTTTCAGAGCATGTACAAAATCGTTCCCTTCTCAAGTTGGGCTGAGTGCATTTAGCATTATGATCTGGCTACAAGTCCATGGGGGCCAGGGAGTGAACTGTGGTGGTTTGAATAAGAATGGCCCCTACAGGTTCAGACATGTTAATACCTAGCCATCAGAGAATAGCACTGCTTGAGAAGGATTAGGAGCGGTGGCCTTGTTGGAGGAAGTGTGTCACTGGAGGTGGGTTTCAAAATTGGAAGTCAGGCCCAGAGTCCCTCTCTTCCTGCTGCCTGTGGGTCCAGATGTGGAACTGTTAACTCCTTCTCCAGCACCACATCTGCCTGCATTCTGCCGCGCTTCTCACCATGATGATACTGGGCTAGACCTCTGAAGCTGCACACAACCCCCAATTAAATAATGATAATGATTGATTATTAATTACTAAATAATTAATTATAATTAAATTCTAAAACTCTTAAGAAATCTGTCCCTAGAACTCTGACCTTGGGAAGAGCAGCTCATGGGATTGCCATTTCTATAGCTAAAAGTCAGAATCAGCAAGGCCTGCCCTACTGGTTTAAACTCTTGTCTTTTGAGTTTACTTACTCCTCCGAGGGCTGGACCGGGAGAACCTAATCATTTCTCCCCCGTGAGCAATTCGAGGCAAGAGGCAAAGGAAATATAGCCTTTCCCCTCCTGTCACCCAGGAAGCCAGAGCTACAAGGACGCAGAGGGCAGGCTGAGAGCACCCTGACGTTTTCTGCCTCTGCCCGTGCTGTATGTGGGAGCGGCTGGGCTTGGATGATGCTCGTGAACAAGGGCACAATGCAGGCTCCCGGGAGCAGCTGTCACGTGATCACTTACAGGCCAGCCCTGCTCTGTCAGCACTACATTGACAGTGAGGCGCCAGTCCCCACCGCCGTCACCACTCAGGACCACTGCTCCGTTGGCTGCGGACACAGGATTTTCTTCCTCGCTTTCGAGACAGGGCTCTCATTATGCAGCCCTGGATGGCCTAGAGCTTGGCGATAAACCTGCCTCTGTCTCCCGAGTGCTAGGATTGAAGCTGTGCACCACTATACCCGCGGGGTTCCTTGTTTGCTTGTGTGGTTTTCGATTCGTTTACCTTGCTTTTATTTTCCAGTGCAAGAACACAAGTGGATAGAGAGGTACAGGTGTCAGAACGGAACTCAGTGCTGACAGACTGGTGTCACCATTGCCACGCTCTATTGGGGCACTGTTTTTACTTCATCCACTGCCTGAGTCCAGTGAGGAAGGGAGGTTTATGAGACAACAATCTGCCGGTGTATACTGAGGTGGCCCGAGAATCCAAAACCTATTTTTGTTTTTTTTTTTCGAGACAGGGTTTCTCCGTAGCTTTTGGTTCCTGTCCTGGAACTAGCTCTTCTAGACCAGGCTGGTCTCGAACTCAGAGATCCGCCTGCCTCTGCCTCCCGAGTGCTGGGATTAAAGGCGTGCGCCACCACCGTCCGGCTTTGAAAACCTATTCTTGTAGTTCCCAATGAAAGGGTTTTGTGTCTGTGTGGCCCAAATACACGGTAACACACTCCTCATGAAGCCCACATAAAGTCTGCAGCAAGTCCTGACAGGTAGACAGACACACGTGCACGCATGGTTTCCACTCACTCCGTTTTCACCTTTGCACCAAGTCACACAGAGAAAAAGCCAGTGTGCTGCAGGTACAACTCCTAGACCAAGAGAGAAAGGCTAACCCAGACCAGAGGACAGAGTCGGAGCAAACCACGTCCTCATCATTTTGAGGACAGTAAAAGTAATCTCTTCTGTAAGTTACTCAGGGTCTGTATTTCTGTCTGTTCCACTTCACGGTTCACTGCGTTCCTGCCAACTTACAAGGATTCCCGAAACCAGTGCCCAGGGCCCACCCGGCCTTTCTAAGCTAGGCAGCTAAAGGCAGAGCTGATGGGAGACAGAGCGGTACCCAGTTTACCTCCATGGATCCTGGTTCAGCTGGTCCTGCTTCTCCGCTGTGGCTGTCGCTGGTGAGTCCTGAGGGGCCATGGGCGGCTAGCTTCTTCTCCTCCTTTAAGGCATGCTCCAACAACTTTTTGTTGAGGATCCGGGCTACATTCTCAGTGAGCGTGTAGCCAGGGGGGGCAGATAAGTCCTGTCTCACTGGTGTGTTCTCTCCCCCATCCTCCCTGCACACCTCTGAGCCCATGCCTAGGGGGCTGGGGGACCTTCCTCGGGAACTGGTGCCCGTTTCCTGGCCTGGACCCAGGTCCTGTCGAGGTTCTGCCGAGCGGGAACGGCTCCCAGCTCGCATCCCAACAGGACTGTGGTCAATGATGTTGAAGAGGCTGGAGAGGCCGTCGTTGATGGTGGTGTGCACGGGGCTCTCCCTGGTGGTGGTGGAGCGGGCCCAGGCTGACTCGCTGAACCCTTTCTGGGCCATGCCTGGCGAGGTCCTGCTATTTGGCTGATCAGCTTTGGACAGGGGCTTCCTCTGAAGCTTGGGAGAACCGTACTTTGGGGAGCAGCAGGTACGTTCAAACTTGGCCTGCACCTTCTCGATAGCAGGGGCCACCTGTCTGTTCCTAAGGCTTCGGGAAGGAGAAGACACGGGTGTAGTGCCACCTCCGGCTTTTGGAGTGAGACACTTGTGGGGGCTGCTGGTGACCCCGCCGGCACGCAGGGCCTCAGTCTGCAAGCCCACACTGATTGTCTGGACGGTCTGTGTTCCTGCTGTCCAGGACCCGTTGGTCTGGCAGGCCATGTCCCTGACTTGTGGTTCGGCGGGACCAGAGCAGATGGCATTCCTAACAGAGAAGGCCACCTCCTTCATGTCGTCACTCATGTTCCTAGACATATCTAGGCTGTGCAATGGGGAGGGGAACCCCAGGGAAGGGCAGACAGGTTTCTCTAGGGGGCGGAGAGACCCCTCCACATAGTCTCGGGAGTGTCTGGGTGGGGTGCAAGGCCACCTGTAGAGCACAGGTTCCGGATGACCTCCCTTGGCATCTGCCAGGTTCCCTCTCGCTCTGCTCATAGGAAAGGGGCCCTCGGGGTCCACTCGGCTCCTGCCCTCACCACCCGACACGATACTGTCAACCCGGCGGACAGCGGGGGGGCTGTGCAATACGTGCACCCCAGACTGCTCAGTGAGGACATGGCTCCGCAGTGGCTGCTTCTGGCAGTGCTCCGGGCTGGTCATGGTGTCTGTCGTCATGGTGACACTTGTGGTCAGGTACCAGGAGGAGTCAGGGAAAGGCTCCATGGTGGAGTCATGTCCTACCCGCCCCACCTCGGTCCTGTCTGCCCAGGGGTCTGGAGGCCTATCGGTCCCAGCCCTTGGGGAAGCATAGTCCCAGTTTTTGCTGTTGAACTCCTCGATGTACTTCAGGTCATCGGGAGACAGGGGTGGGGTGACATCCTCCTTGCTGCTGGCAGATGGTAGGCCCTTCTCAGGCAGGAATGGGGAGACGTCCATCAGACGTTGGAATTCAGACATACAGGACACAGACACAGCCCTGGGGGGGGGGGGAAAACAGAAGGGGTCAGCTCCTGGACTGTACTCTACACAAGATGTACCCGTGGAGGTGCCTGCCTCTCCCTGGCTCTTCAAAATCGGGTCAGCCGGGGCTGGAGAGATGGCTCAGCAGTTAAGAGCACTGACTGCTCTTCCAGAGGATCCGGGTTCAATTCCCAGCACCCACATGGCAGCTCACAACTGTCTGAAAATGCAGTTCCACGAGATCTGATACCTTCACACCAATGCACATCAAATAAAGTTAAATAAACCACTAAAAAAAAAAAAAACGGGTCAGCCACTCGACATCCTGCATGGTTGTTACGCTCACCCCATGAATGCCCACAGTTGTATAGCTCTGCAATTGTGCCTGCAGCCTTGCCTTGGTCTGAACTGAATAGAGCTACTCCCTCCATGGCCACACAGACGCGTGGATTACCCACCCACAGTCATGGCTAATTCCAGACTGTGGTCTGGCGACTCAAGCCACTACGGAGGATCACCCTCTGCTGGCTTCCACGAACCTGTGAAGATGAACAGGTCATACTCCCTAGCTACTGTGAGCCATAGGACGGGCAGAGGGAGACCCTGGTGAAACATCTACGTTCATCCGAACAGCCTCATCCTCCACTGGCCGGAAGGACACTGACTTTGACGCCTCCAAAGGCCACTTGGAAGATGTCGGAGGAAATAGAAAAGTGGAAACCCTGATCAGTTTTGAGTCTTGTCTCAACCTAGAATACGATCAAGCCCACCCAATTCAGTAAGGGGCGTCCTCGCCTCCTGTCCCAGCTTTCCTCTCGATAGCCAAGGTGTGTGTGTGTGTGTGTGTGTGTGTGTGTGTGTGTGTGTGTGTGTGTTGATTCTTTCTGTCCTCTAGAGGAGGAGAACTCCCTCAGGCACATGAACGATGGTAAAGGAGGAAGGCAGATGAGTGACAAGGGCCCGGCTTGGGTAGCCATCGCCCAACGGGTGTGAATGTGGGCACAGATCCTCATTTCAACTTCTCATGCTCCAATCTGACAGAAACTTGGGGAACGCTTTCCCTCTGCTCCCCAGTCTCCACAGAGGCGGTGGGGTGGCAGACTGGACAGACCAGGAGGTGGGTGGGGTCTTCATGTTGCTTGCCTATCCACCAGGGAAAAGAAACGGTCAGAGGCTGGGGGTCGGGTGTGCCCACCGACTCAGGTGACAGAATCGCTCCAGCTGCAGCAGAAGTGGGAGGCAAGGCGGACACCCACTTACCATCCCACTCGATCTGTTTCCTCTCAGCTTGACAGACGGACTTTATACCTAGGGTTGTAACTCAGTCCTAGCCACGCCAGAAGGGAATCTTATACCTGGTACCCAGATCACTCTCTATAGAACCTGGTAGTAACAGGAAGGCCAGACTGAGGCTGCCCTGGGAGCAAGCCTAAATGCTCAATGGTTGCTACACTGAACCACTAGAGGCAGTCACGAGTGGGGGCTTGTAGGGTTAGCTGGATGGAGAAGCACCGAGACGGCAAAGAATGGAGGGGTGTGGACCTTAGAAACGGCCACGCTGATGAAACAACAAGGCTAGGATGCCCTGGAAGCATGGCTGGGTGCCTCCTGGTACAAGAGATGAGGCATGGGCCCCAACATGGTTACAAGTCAGGGGGGCCACATGGCCTGGGGAGGGGTCGGCACCTTCATTGTTTTGTCTCAGACATTTGACGCTACTTAAAATTTGCAACCCCCATGTTGACTACTTCTGAAATCAGCAGAAGCAAGTAAGATTTAAAATCACAGTTACAGAGCACAAAGGAAGAGGGAGATGGGAGGCCTGGGTATCAAAAGCGAAACGGCGCGAGCCTTCATCTGGACACGGAGCGATTGCTGCTGTGAATGAATGGGCACAGCAGTTGATGGAGCCACAGCTAAACCGTGTGTGCTGCTTCTCTGGCTTCCTGTGTGTTCATACGTGTGAACTCCACGAAGAAAATAACAACAAAGAATCTGACTCCCCTATGTACGGATGAAGCAACTACGGCCCAAAGCACTTAAGTCCCAGACCCACGGAAGCACAGCAAGAGGCAGATGCAGATCACTTCCGGAGCCCAGGCCCACAAGTATACTTGCATTGCCTGGGGAAGACAGAGAAGGGCACCATGTCCGGGCAACTCTGTGGGTTCTGTGGAAACAGATGGTAGAGGCTGCAAAGGAGACAGTCTGTATTTACAGCCTCCAAGATCAGAGGGAAAAATAGGATGAGGGGAGCTGACGGCGGCAAACTGCCAGAGACACAGGATGCAATGGGGATAACACGCGTCCGTCTACGGAGGGAAGAAAAGGCAAAGCCAGAGAGCACAGGCTGTCAGGGAGGAAGCTGGGTGCAGCTAACACGAGGGTCGCAGCTAAGGTCTGTTCCCTCTGGGAATCACAGCAGGGAAAGCTGCAAAGACAAAACAAACCCCCCATTTGCCATGAAGGACACCTCAGAAATGGAGTGGTTTTCTGAGCTGCCCATAAGAAAGTCTTCACAGACCTTTGAAAGACTGTTTTTTTTTTTTTTCCAAGCACTCCTCTGGACGTGGCAAACACGGTTCTTATCCTAAGACACAAACCAGCGCACGTTGCCTTTTTGCTGATGCTAATCTAGGAAACAAATAGTTTAACAGACGCTACTTACTGTAAATTGTTTTGAAGAGTACCCACCAACACTGCATGAAAACAGTGGATCCTTAAAGGCAAAAGATTTAGAATTTAGCAATCAATTTTACTTACCTTTGAAGATTTCCCTTGCGACTTTCTTCTTCCTGTAGAGAAAGAAAGAAAGAAAGAAACAAACAAACAAACATCTGTCAGAACCAACTGATTCTGGCTTCCTAGGAATCCCGTCTGCACTAAGTGACTTGTTTTGCTATGGTCTCTTAAGATGTGGTTCAGAAGGCTCACTGAGGCCAAGTCCTAGGCTACTGCCCTGAGCCCTTTGAAGTGGAACAGTAAAAGCTTCATCCACAGCATCATGGGAGGGTAGGAGCTTCTGAGGTCTCCCCAGGGAGGCAGGGGCCCGCCTGAGTGAGAAACTTGTTGAGTAAATGGTCCTCCCGCACCCCCACTGTATGGAGCTCCAAGAACTGGCAATCTTGAGTAAGTCCAGGTGCGTGTGTGGGGGGGTTGGAGTGGAAGATGACGGTGGGCAGGGAGGTGGGAGACCGATGTCCTCCGGTCCAGATCTTGCTATGGAGGTTGGTATGGGTGGCATCTTTGGGGCAGGGACTCCTGCTTGTTTCTGAACATTCCTGGTTAGGATCAGATGTAGAAAAACGGTGACTTCCCCTGAAGGGCAGCAGGAACTGTGCTGACCAACAGCGGCAGAGACAAAGGTTGTCTATTGAGAAAGACTCGCGTGCTGGCATGGTTTGGAAGAAACAGTCACTGGACAGTAATGAAACCGTATTCCTTGCACAGCCATACTGAAGCGTGCCTTCTTCACAGACAGCAAGCCTGTGCTTCCACCACACAGAGGAGTAAGGGTCTCCCTTGGACCCGTGCTCTCTCTGCTACAAAGCTGTACCACGGAGATTGCCTGCAGATCTGTGGCGGGGAACACCAACCATCAGACATCCTACCGACCTGCTACACACTGATGGGGGTAAGGCATCTGACTTCACTGACCTGACTGACGTACGTGGTTTAGCATCCCTTAATCCAAAAATCTGTAACCTGAAATACTTCAAAATCTGAAAATTCTGGACTTTGTTTCGCACGCAAAATAAGCATAGAATAAAATTGCCTTCAGGCTCTAGGCATAAGAGGAATATGGAATGTAAATGATTTTTGTGTTTGAATCGAGTCCTATCCCCAAGATGCCTTTTTATGAACATGTAAATATCCCAAACTCCATGACAGTTGGAAACCTGAAACCCTATGGTCTCAGCATTTTGAACCAGGGACATTCAACTCTCATTAAATGTCCCCATACTTCAGCACTACCCGAGACAAGTCTCCTAAGTATGAAGTATTTGGAAGAACAGTAGCCAGTACGGTCACTGTAAACCGGCTCATGTGTAATGATGCCCACAGCAGGGTGCCCACCTCATCATCCGGGTTTGAGACAGGGTCTCACTATTCTCATACCAGTTTTTAAACTGTGGCTTTAGAAACAAAACCATCAGAGGAAAGTAAGTGGCGTCGTGCCGCAGAAACTTTGGTGGCTCTCTCGAATTCAATCATTTGTCCATCCACTTGTTGGATGTTTTTCCCTTTCACCAGAATAACATATTGATTGCGGTTCCCATTTAGTGATATCTACCAAATGTTAAGGTATTCTTTAATACAAATTATTTCTCAGCCATCTGAGTTTCCTAGAATCAGAACATGCATAATGATTTCAAGAAAAGTTGAAACTATACATTTGTCTACTGAGTTTTGTGGACGACACTTGTTCTTGAGAGTTTTCATGTTACATGGGACCTTACGTCCAGCATTTCTGAACCCAGAACAAGAGGGCTAGGTTAAACTGACCACGGGAGTAGGGTCGTGGTCTGGGGCACTAACTTGCCGGGAGGGAACTGCCAGACACTGGCTGCACAGCATGTTGGCTCCCTCCTGCTGCTGTAACCTCAGAGGACAAACCCAGGCTGACCTTGGCAAGGCAGTTCCTGAGGGGTGGAGGATCCTCTGGGTCATCGTCCATGGACAAAGCGTCCAAGTACAGGTTCTCGCTGGCCGAGCACCGGTCCGACTCCTTCAGTTTGGAAAGCGGCCGGTCTTCAAATGGGATGGAATCAGTGTCTGCACAGGGCCACATGGACACAGGCCGGGGAGCACGGAGGTCTCCTTGGTGTGGAAAAGGGCGGGCGTCGTCTTCCTTTTGACTGCAGAGGAAACTGCCGCTTCTCCGGGGGCTGTTCTCTTTCTGCAACTGAGTGTCAAAACGGAAACAATAAGCCTCCCTTTCCAGTGTGACAATTTTGCTAAGCCCATCCTTTCTCCACTATGTTGAATTACGTGTCTACCTGAAAAGACTTTTTAGAATCAAATGTGCTTAATGGCATGGCATCAGGTTCAAGATGTCGCACCGTACCACAAATGCTTCCTAGAGAGAAGCACACTTTACCTGGACTGCAGAATCTTCCTGCCGCAAATATTTGTGTTTTGAGGGTTTTCGCTACTGTCTTCTTCATTTCTGTTGTACTCATATAATTGATCAATTATTGTGCTTACGGGAAATTAAGACATTTTGGGTTCAAGTTTAAGGGGAACAAGCATCGTGTTTAATATTTCTTTCACAGGAACCTCCAGAACTTTAGCAAACTCCATTTTCCTACCTGACCCAAGGCAGATAACAAATTCGATACAGAACCGAGGGACTGAACTGGATTGTAGTCACATGGTGCTCAAGACGACGCTAACTTTGCTAGAGAGAGTTAAAACTTAGCTATAAAGACGACTAAAGACCTGGAACACTTTTTGGCCTGACTTGGTAAACTCAAGTAGTAACGGGTAAAGATGGGTCACTTGGCGTGTCGATGAAAGGGCTGGGGGTACAGTTAGTGGGGGAGCACTTGCCAAGCACGTGCAAAGCCCTGATCTGGTTCCCAGCAATTGAAGAAGGCGGGGCTGCAGCTGCGGAGGGTGGCTTGCTGCTTTGCAAGCAAAACTGGTTTCCCAGCTCTTGGAAACAGGTGAGCAGCAGGGGGCCTGGCAGGTGCACTCACTGGGCCAACAAGCACCTTTCTTCCAGTGGGAGATCTTAAGTGGAGTATTTTATCAGACAGCCATATAAAAATCACTGAGGACTGATGGGATGTCCCAGAGATGTGGCTCACGGGTGGCGTCCCTCTTACTTACTGCCTCCCTCTTTCTAAATACCTATAGAGAGTGCAATCGAGGCCTGAAGCTACTCTCACCTAGGACTTTCTAATATGATTACGTGCTCACCCTCCTAAACTGGCTGTTCTCTTGAATAAGTAAATTATCCAACGACCAGAATGACATTTTCATTTCACTGGAAAGCGTGGCCAACTCAAGATATCCAGTCCTCAAGGGCTGAGATGACGAAGGAAGTTTTTTTTTTTTTTTAAAAATCCCTCAAACCCAGACTGATTATTTTTTTATTAAATTTTTTTATATTTATTGAGTGCTACATTTTTCTCTGCTCCCCTCCCTGCCTCTCCCCTCCCTCCTACAACCCTCCCCCAAGGTCCCTGTGCTTCCAATTTACTCGGGAGATTTTTTTCTTTTCTACTTTCTTCTTCCCATGTAGATCTATATAAGTCTCTCTTAGTGTTCTCATTGTCTAAGTTCTCTGGGATTGTGGTTTGTAGGCTGGCTTTCTTTGCTTTATGTTTAAAAACATGAGTGAGTACATGTGCTAATTTTCTTTCGGGGCCTGGGTTACCTCACTCAAAATAATGTTTTCTAGCTCCATCCATTTTCCTGCAAAATTCAAGATGTTATTTTTTTCTGCTGTGCAGTACTCCATTGTGTAAATGTGCCACATTTTCCTTATCCATTCTTTGATCAAGGGACATTTAGGTTGTTTTCAGGTTCTGGCTATGACAAACAAAGCTGCTATGAATATAGCTGAGCATATGTCCTTGTGGTACGATTGAGCATCCTTTGGATATATACCTAAAAGTGTTTGAAGAAGGTTGTTTCCTAGTTTTCTGAGAAATCACCACATTGACATCCAAAGGGGCTGTACTAGCTTGCATTCCCACCAACAATGCAGAAGTGTTCCCTTTGCCCCACAATCTCTCCAGCAAAAGTTGTCATCAGTGTTTTTGATCTTGGCCATTCTTTCAGATGTAAGACAGAATCTCAGAGTTGTTTTGATTTGCATTTCTCTGATGACTAAGGATGTTGGACATTTCCTTAAGTGTCTTTCAGTCATTTTAGATTCATTTGTTGAGAGTTCTCTGTTTAGGTCTGTACCCCATTTTTAATTGGATTATTTATTATTTTGATGACCAACTTCTTGAGTTCTTTGTATATTTGGAGATCAAACCTCTGTCTGATGTGGGGTTAGTGAAGATCTTTTCCCATTCTGAAGGCTGTCGTTTTGCCTTGTTGACCATGTCATTTGCTTTACAGCAGCTTTTCAGTTTCAGGAGGTCCCATTTAATTGTTTCTCTCAGTGTCTGTGCTGCTGGGGTTCTATTTAGAAAGTGGTCTCCTGTGCGAATGTGTTCAAGTGTACTTCCCACTTTCTCTTTTTTAAGGTTCAGTGTGGCTGGCTCTATGTTGAGGTCTTTGATTCATCTGGACTTGAGTTTTGTGCATGGTGATAGATATGGGTCTATTTTCATTCTTCTACATGTTGATATCCATTTATGCCAGCACCACTTGTTAAATATGCTTTTTACCCCCATTTGACATTTTTTGCTTCTTTGTCAAAAATCAGGTGTTTGAAGATGTGTGGATTGATATCTGGGTCTTCTATTAAGTTCCATTGATCCTCCTGTCTGTTCTTATGCCAGTACCAGGCTGTTTTCAGTACTGTAGCTCTGTAGTAGAGTTTGAAGTCAGGGATTGTGATGCCTCCAGAAGTTCTTTTATTGTACAGGATTGTTTTGGCTATCCTGCGGTTTTTTTTTTTTGCTTTTCCATATTTAGTTGAGTACCGTTCTTTCGAGTTCTTTGAAGAATTTTGCACCTGTTCTGGTGGAGATCGCTGACTCTGGATCCGGTCACTGGCTCAATCCTGCTCCGCCAGTGTCCCAGGACAGGTTTGGCTCCAGGGGCTGGATTTGCTCCTGACTTCTGCACCCAGGGGAGCTTGTTCGCGCTCTGTCCTAGGTAACTGGTTCTGTCCCACTCCGGTTCTGGTGGAGATTGCTGACTCTGGGTCAGGTCGCTGGCTCAATCCTGGTCTGCCAGTGTCCTGGGTTGGCTTCTGGGACTGGATTTACTCATGGTGGAGCTTCCCCAGACTGGTTTTTAAAGAGCATCTTTACCAGTTGCATCTCTGAAACCCAATCTGAGCCTTCATCCATGAGCTTGCAGAGAAGCATGGCTTGTGAATGCTCAGGAGGAAGCTGGACAGGACAGAAGGACCCACAACTCGCTTTTCTAATTAAATGTCTCTGAGCATCATTGCTAGTCCATGAGAAGATGGGGGTCCCTGTCAGCAGCAAAATCTTAGATGCCGGTCTGCGGCAGGCTCGATGTTAAATCAGGGAGAGAACAGATTACTCCAGATTCGAGCTCGGTCCCCTCTACCCTCTCCTCCCCCTCCCTAAGGACACATTTCTTCGCAGTTCCCTTAATGATGCTAAATACTTTATTTAAAAAAAAATCTATAAAAAGGAAAGCTTTTTATTATATTTCTCTAACGCATGTCAGCGCAGCTGAGTTTAACACATGATCATCTCCCAGGGTATTTTGGGCAAAGAATTAAAATGCAAGCATCACACTGGATGCTGTAAATGGGCACCGAGGGTGTGTGTGAAGGGGGAGAAGGAACGACTAAAGAGAGCTACGAACAAACACAACCTAGCTCACTCAAGTGGGGCTGCAAAAATAAACCCAGGCAGCCAGCAGCCGTTTGCACCGGGGCTGCTAAGTGTCAGGTTTCCTAAAAAACCAAGCCGAAGAAGCGGCCAGAGCTGGCAGTCCCTGCGGCCGAGATGCTTGCGTGCCGCTGCAATAGTCTAGTGGGTCCTGACCGGGTAGGGTTTCCCGGGGCCACACGCCGACTGTACTTGCGATCTTGCAGTAGAATGCATTTAATGTAAATGGAAAATTTAACAGGCTTGTATTTCAAATAATTGAGCACGACAGACTCTCAAGAGCGTCACCTTACAGAGGGTGAAAAGAAAAAGGTCACCCTGGGAAGAGGTTTAGAGGGTGCCCGGCTGCTCGGGTTCTCACGGCAGTTGACTTGAGAAAATGAAGTGGAAGGAGAACAGGTAACAGAATCGTTCCTCTTTTAGCTCCCTAAGTACAAATATAGAGACATTCCGTGGCAGTGGCTACGGAGAAATCCACTGTGGCCCCATAAACGGTAACTGACCCCCCCCAACACACATGGGTTGAGAGTTCTACCACGAGAGATGAGACGCGCCGAGTGACCGTAGCCACATTCCCACAATCCTTTGCCACACAGACCGCGGCATCGTGTGGTGTAGAGATTATGCGTGAGTTTACTGTCACTGGGCGAGTATGAAGCACATGTTCCGGGAGTGGAAAATGGATTTACTGTTGCTTCCTTAGCTGTCTGTATCGAGATCTCATAGCCAATGCTATATGGCTTCTCTGGGGGTCAGATATTGGGGGGGGGGACACCGCGAGGAACACTCATCTGCGGAATGTTGAGAGTTCTACCACGAGAGATGAGACGCGCCGAGTGACCGTAGCCACATTCCCACAATCCTTTGCCACACAGACCGCGGCATCGTGTGGTGTAGAGATTATGCGTGAGTTTACTGTCACTGGGCGAGTATGAAGCACATGTTCCGGGAGTGGAAAATGGATTTACTGTTGCTTCCTTAGCTGTCTGTATCGAGATCTCATAGCCAATGCTATATGGCTTCTCTGGGGGTCAGATATTGGGGGGGGGGACACCGCGAGGAACACTCATCTGTGGAATGTGCAGCTAGACATTAGAGCAGCAAGCAACTGGTGAGAGCTGTGCGCGGTTCCCCTCGTGCCGACCTCTCCCTGCGCGTCAGAGCTGGCCTGCTCTTTCACAAAATGCTGACAGCTACTGCGCTGGTGTTCGGAAGCCCTTTCTGTTGTTCCTTTTGGAAACTACAGCTCCCAGATTCCTCCTGGATTACGGACACCTGCGCACGCGCGCGTGCGGGCGCACACAGGTGCAGGACATTTCTCCCAGATACCCTTGCGCTTCCCGTTAAAAAGCGAGCTTCCACGAGGTCTCGCTCTCTTGCCCCTTACCCTTGTGTGTCTTGCACACCTGTCCCTTATCGTGTCCCCCTCCCCCCATTTAAGTGCACCCACGTGGGAGCCGCGTGTCTATGTCTTCTCCTTTCGTGCGTGTCTTGTCTGTCCTGTGTTTGTCTACACACACACCCGCTTTAAAAGAATAATACTTTCCAATGCTGACTGCTCCAGGGGAAAGGCTAGACCGAGTCCTCAAAGCCACGTCTGCATGCGTTCAGCATCTTTTCACTGGGGACCCGTCTGATGAGCAGGGAAGCCTATGCAGACCTACAGCACAGGTGTGAGGACCAGGGGGACACCTGAAACACCAGGCTGCGGCCACGCGTAAGACACGGCAATCAAGTTCAGCTCCTGGTCCTTGCTTTTATTGCCTAAAAACGGTATCAAAGTGAGGTGGCAGCTCAGCCCTGGGTCACTGTTGCCTCAGAAACTGAGGGTTATCACATGTGTCTAACCAAATTTTTCTTTGCTAAAAATTCCTCATTCTCCAAAGAAAAACACAGATCTCAGATACCTGTTTGACTGACAGTAAGTACGACTTTCAAAACTGAAGAAGTCAGAGACAGGATGGATGAGCGGCAATGAGCAAGAAAAGGGGACCCCAAAGGCCCATGACAGGGGGCACAATGGTCTCATAGGGTGTAGCAGGGACACTCGAGGTAAACAATACAAGCAGTGACCAAGAGTGCAGGTTCCCTGGAACCAGGCTGCAAAGGCTTGCTGTAGTACAAATTCTACCTGATCTTATATAATAAAATAACAAAAACCCAGAGTCAGTTATTAGGGGTGAAAGCTGAAAGATCAGAGAAGCAGAGCAGCAGCCACTAGTTCTTAGCTCTGCGAAACTCCCAGACATGGGGTATCCTGCCTCTGCGAGTCATCAAACTGAATGCTCAGACAGAACGCTGTGGCCCTGTCACTTCCTGTCTTACAGTCCTCTCTTCACCCAGACATATCACTCCTGTCTCCACCTCTCTAGTGCTGGGATCAAAGGTGTGAGCCTCCACCGCCTGGCTGGTTCTCTTTTAGGCTGGGTTGATCTAGTGTGGCCCAGGGTAGCCTTAAAACTCAGAGAGATCCCTCTGCCTCTGCCTTCGAAATGCTGGGATGAAAGGTGTGTGCTACCTCTATGGTTAACTAGTGGCGAGCTCTGCTCTTCAGGCAAGCTTTATTGGTTAAAACACAAACAACATATCACCACAGCCTTCTTATTCTTCCTAGGAGATAAAGCCCAGCCTCTTGGAGGGAGGAGAAAGCTTCATGCAATTTACAGGGCCCAAGAAGCACAGAAAATTAGACATGGATTCACCAAGAGTCCTCCGCAAGGTTACATAAGCGGTAACAGTTGTGGGGGAGGGAAGGAGCTGCCAGGGGTTGAGCTGCCTGTGGGCTGAGACGCCTGCAGTTTGTGCACCAGTGATGCAGCTCACGTGAATCATTGGCGCTACGGTGGGCTCTTCGGTGCGGTTTCCACCTGGGAGCCACCCAGGCTCCAGAAAAAAACTTTCCTCCTAGGTGGGTCACTAAACTAGATCTGGGGGGAATCATTCTTTGGTCTGAATCAGAACTCCATCTGGGGCAGAGGCATCTGCTCACACCCCCTCAGAAAAAGTCAAGTCGGGTGCGACAAAACGGCAATCATTTTATAGGAACACATGCCGTTCTGCCGCGCGGCAGGCCCCTCAACAGAGTACAGATGCTAGGCACAGTCTGGCAGATTCTTCACAGGGCTGGATTTCCAAACCACACAGGAAGTGAGGACTTTCCTCTTGGAAGTATTTGGAGAATTTTGAAATGGAGCCATATCAAATATTAGCAAGGTGACTGAACCCAGAAAAGCCTCTGCCCCTTCTGTCCCTAGGGTGCTTCCTCTCTCCTGTTCCTTAATCAGAGGCTCTGGGTCACTTTTAAATCACGTGGTTCATTTCTGAGTCCCTGAAAATCTGGACTGGACTTCACCATGGCCCTTCAACTTTAGCGCAAGAACTGTGCCGTACACGTGGCCGGAGGAGCCTCATTCTCAACAGGTTCTCAAACTAACGCCGGCCAGGCGAGTATTAATAATAGAGACACGCTGTACTTTCTTTATCATTTCTAGCTGACAGTTCTTAAGGCTCTGGGCATTTGTAAGAGTGACAGGTTGGAAGAGGCAAGGTATCTATCTGTAGGGGTAGGAATCTAGCCAGGAAGAAATTCAACACACGCTTCTCACCGTGAAGTAAAAAGCTTTCTGAATTTCCACACCACTCTGGGCCAGCTGCAGCTACACAAACCGCACCAAGGGCACGCAATGCAGAGAAGGATTAGCCAGGCAGGAGGAAATCAGCTTCCTATGCTCTCCCTGCATCCATCAGAGTTTGTTTATCGGGAGGTGATGAGCTACCAGACACCTCCCTGGATTCTGTTTCCATCTAATCACAGCTCAGCAAAACCCCCAGCAGGCGCAGTCCCCAGCCAGCAAACAATGACTTCTAACTCAATTTGGTAATTACTTCACTAATGGTGATGAGTCCATTCAGGCTGCAGCCAGCGCCATGACCGGGTCTTCCGGGGCATCCTAAGTGTTAGCTTACTCAGGAGCAGAACTTTCTGAGGATGACCTGAAATAACCTCCCCTTCCAAGTCAAATCCCTTAAAAAAAAAAAAAAAAAAAAAAAAAAAAAAAAATCCTTCCCAGTCCCTGTACAAAAGTAGACCGCCTACAAACTCTGCAATGAAAAGGTGTGTGTCATGCGAGAGTATGGTTCACCTTGAACTGTCAACTTCACTGGGTTGAGAAAGGTCTAGATGAGTAACTAGTAACGTTGACCAGGGTGTGTTTGCAGTGGCCACTACATCCTGGGGGCTCTGACCTAATAAATCAATGAATTCCTAGACAAATTCAAAGACGGTGGCATTATTGGAAGATAGTAGAGGACAAGAGGTGGGGGTGTAGTTGGAAGAAGTTGGTCCCTGGGGCTGTGCCCTTGGAGCTACAGCTTGCCCAGTCCTCCTGTATTGCTCTGTGCTGCCCGTCTAGCACAGACGAACGAGAGCCTCTACCACGTGCTCCAGCCACCCTGCACCACTGACTGACGCGAACCACGCCTTTTAAGTTGATCTCACGGGTATTCTGGTGCACCAAAGTAACTAACGCGTGGCGCGTGGGAGAAGAACTCTGCCACGGGAAACATAGCCTGTCTCATTCTTCCCCTGCATGCCCTCAACGGAAGGCAGGGGACAGCAGCAAGCTTCTTTCTCTAGGTGCCCCTGGCTCCCAGGGCCATGAGCTGTCTGCATGCTGCTTGCTCCGGGTGCAGCAGCTGCCGCCCACTCTGGGGCTGCGGCACACCTACCTGCTCCACCCGCCACAGGAGTTCCTCTTTCTGTCGCCCCCACTCCTGCCGCTCGCTGTCCAGGCGTTCCAGCAGCTCCACCTTCTCTCGGTTCCAGTTCTTCTCCCGGTGATGGATCTGCCAACGCAGGTCCATGACCAGGCCGTGGCTGTCGGCCAGCAGCTTCTGGTGGACCTCTCTCTCCTTCTTCAAGGTCCCTTTGCCCTCCGCAGAGGAGTCGAGCTCTCCCAAGCTTTTCTCAGCCTTCTCTTCCAGCTGCCAAAGAAGACAAGACTCAGGGCCACCCTCTCTGAAAACCAGCATTGGAGACAGAAAGCAAGCTCAGAATACCTGCACAGGATCCCGGGATGCATACTACCTAAGCCAAGCCGGTCTGATTCCATGGGAGAAAGAACCAAACTTCATTTTTAAGGCCAGAATTTAGAATGTCGGATATAAAATCTCCTAGATTGTTGAGCACCGCTCTAACAGACTCCTTGGGTCTACCTCCCTTCCAGCCTCAGTCACTCTGTCTTCTGCCTCTACAGCTCTTTGTAGGTGCTACCATGCTTGCTCGGTCCAGTATCTTTGGCCCCGATGTGGGACAACAATGGAACACAGTATTCTTTAATAAACATTTCTCAAAGACCCAGGGGTGAAATGTAGAAACCAAAGAACTACCAAAGAGGAAACCGATAGAAAGCAGAGAGAAACAGTATCATGCAAAGGCAAGGGCACTAGGGTGTGCATGTAGGGCTTCCTTCCTCTGGGCGCCCACGAAGCATCCTAAGTGCTTTTGGTTCCTAGAACCATCGATCACTGCTCATGGTGCTCAGGGAGCACACCAGACTTCTCCTCGGAAACTATGCGAGTCAGGTAAAGATGGGCACCTCTAAGCAGCTGAGGCAGAAATGCAAACGGGATAAATGTGCTGGCTGGTTGGCTCCTGTCCACCTGACAGAAACCTAAACAGATCTTGGAAGAGGAAATCTTAATTAAGAAGAGGCCTCTTTAGGAATGGCCTGCAAGCAAGTATGCATGCTATTGTTATGGTTGATAATTGATGGGGGAGGGGAGGGCACAGCCCATGGTGGGTAGTGCCATGGCTAGGCTGGTGGTCCTGGGTTCTACAGGAAAGCAGGCTGAGCAAGCCATGAGGAGCGAGCGACCCAGGAAGCAGCTCTCCCCCATGGCTTCTGCAACAGCTCCGCTCTCTGGGTTCCGGCCTTGACTTTCTACCCTGCCTTCCTTCAGGAACTACCTCCATTGGGCTGGCCTGTCTGCAGGGGAAGAGACACCCCCAACTGAGGAACTACCTCCGTCAGGCTGGCCTGTCTGCAGGGGAGTTTTTTCTTCCAAGAGCCTAGCAGCCTGTGCCAGGCCTTAAGGATTGACTCAGCAGACTAGAAAGGCTGTGTCTTGCTTTGGTTTCCGCTATACAGAGATGCTTCCATGGGCCTCACACTTGCAAGGCAAGTGATTTTATTTTGAAATTGGTTCCTGTTTGTTACCAAGCATGACCTCAGACTTGGGATTCTCCCCCTGCCTCAGTTTTTCTACAGGTATGTGCCACCAAGCCCAGCTAAGCAAAGGCTGCCCCATGTGTTGCTGGATCCTCAGTATTTAGAGCAAGGTCTTAGTTTGGGAGGAAAAAAAATAGAGATTTGGGCTCTGCTGAAAATATCTGGGCTTTTGATTTGTATTTAAGCAGAAGGCCAAGCTGACCCTGGGATGTGTATGTTGAAGAAATGTCCTGAGCAGGCGGGGCAGAAGACGAACAGGCTGTGGTACTACCTGGCTTCTGAACTTGAGGTCCTAGCTTGTTTCCTGGCAAGGAAGGCTCTGTTCTCCCCTGAGGCTTTAATTGCAGCCAACACTCTGGTGGATTTCAGGCTCCTCTGAGACAAACATACAATGTTTGAAAGTGGCTCGCATTGACACGTTTGTCTTCCTTCTTACCCACATGGATCCCCTGCATACTTCTGAAGGGACTTAATGGCTCCTCCTGGAAGAGCAACCTTGCACACTTCTCCCCTGTGGCTCCTGGCAGTCTGGACACCAGGATGAACAGAGCATCTGGTAAGAAGCCCTCTCCTGAGCAGCCGAGAACCAAAACAGAGCCACGGTTCTATCATTTCGTAGGTTGGGCCTGACTCTGTTCCTGCCTCTTCAAGGATATGAGCCTTAAACCTCAGAAGACAGAGCAGGTGAGCTTGTGGAACCTGGTGGCAGATGGCAGCAGGGTCGGTTGCAGTACAGGTGAACTTGGAGGTCCCTAAGGTTATGCCACAGAACAGGTGAACCTGAGGGGTGCCAGGGGTCACTGGTAATGCAGGTAAACTAGGGAGGCATCCTGGGTCAGGTGGTGGTGCAAGTGATCTTGAAGGGTACCTGGAGGTCATGTGGCAGAATAGTGAACATGGGGAGTCCTAGGAGAGCTATTTTCTTCAGGGTGACAGGCTCTTCCCATCTTTTATCACGACTGAGGTTATTTACAAGGTATCTCCTCCTTCTTAGGGGACTTTTTCCTTTCATGACTGAGCCAATCCGTATAAAGTTTTAATTACTTTATAGTTTGCCTCACAACAAAGGCTAAAAGATACACGCCACACACAGGCCTTGTTCCTGCCTTCTGACCTGACAGCACCCTGGAGCAGCAGACACTGTGCAGGGGACGCCCAGAGAAACAGCTCAGCAAAGGCTGCTGCTCCCTATGGGCGGGGCCACACTCCCCAGGCTGACTGTAAATCCTCGCTGGAGGTGGGTCACCTGGGCTCTCCCCATGACTCAGATCTGAAGCACGCTGCCCCTTCTGGGCCTCGGTTCCTTTGATATAAAAGGGACATTTGATTTGACAAGGTGTCCAAGCCACGAGAGGAAGATCTTTTCAATTATTTCCAAAATTCTAAAGGGCAGCCACCTGTTGTCTTTTCTCAGCGGGGACAGAACCACAGTGTGAAGTCAGTGCGAAGGCGCACACCTTTTATCTCAGCGTTTGGGAAGCAGAGAAGCAGGTGAGGCTAGCCTGGTCTACATAGCAAGTTCCAGTCCAGCCTGGTCTACACAGCAAGTTCCTGTCCAGCCAGGGCTAAACAGTGAGCACCAAAGGAGCAGACAGCACAAGGAAATGCTACTGGTGAAGATGTATTCACCCTCGGGAGGGAGACTACCGTGAACAATGGGACTTGGGAGGTGAGGCCCTTCGCGGACAGCCTCAAGACCCTCTCCTCTCCCTGCCCCAACCCGGTCCACAAGGGTTGCTCGAGAGGGAAGAGGGGGGACAGTGTTCAGGAGGGAGGCGGCCCAAGGGGCGGGTACCTGCTCCAGGCGGCACTTAAGTACAGCCCACTCCACATCCCAGGCAGCCTTGTCGCTGGCGTACTGCTGCTGCAGCCGGAGCCGCGCATGCTCATCTTCCCGCAGCTCCGAGCGGAAGTCCTCCAGCAGGGCCTTGAGGGCCCTGAACAGCTGCTGATTTTCTGCAACCTGTAGGAACAGAGCCAGGGGAACCTCACTTAAGAGTGTCTCAGGCTGCAGTGCCTTCCAGGTTCCCTGCAGAAGGCGCCTGTGGGTGGAGCCTACAATCACCGAACAATGGCAAGATGGTCCCCTCTCTGACGCCAAGGCCCTGAGCAGGTGTGTTCAGAGGCTGAACCATGGACTGGTGCTGTGGGCACCTAAGGCACGGGGATGCTCTCAAGCCTGAGGGTTAGTTTAGAATCCCACTGGGAGCCCTTGATGCCAGTCGGTCGGACAACGCTGCGGGGCTTCAGACACCCTGTGCTCTGAGTTGGGCTGGCTGCGGTGGTACCCATTGCTCCAGTGCAAGCTACTGAACTAGAAGTAATCAATGCGGGCCTAAGAACTCTGGGAGACACAGGGCGGTCACTCTTTGACTTCTGGTAACTCAGAGAGGAAGGGAGCTTCTGAGAGTCCCTAATTAAAGCAGGAGGGGAAATAATGCTCACCTTACTCATCACAGGCATTTGCGGATTCCAAGACGCAACTCTGCCCTTATTACTGTTTGTACTTCACATAAAAGCGACCAGGCTCCAGACCCTGCCCAGTCTTTGAAGGCACACTTCAAAACTCTGATTTATGTTCTAGTGTGTGCTGGCATGGGCATTGTATCACAAAGGCTCACACGCAGCACCTGTAACCCCAGCATGGGGAGAGTAAGACCGATTCCAGGCCAGCCTGGGCTATGCCGTAAGATTCTGTCTCTAGGAACCGAAGGGGGGGGGGGGGGGGAGAAAGTTTGTCTGAATTAAATACTCCACACTAGTATTTACTGGTGACAAAAGGCTTAAGAGTGCATCTACAGTTACCCCAGCAATGTGACTATGCTTCCCCAGTCCTCAGGGAGACGGAGGCTCACGAACAGGAAAAACTCCACATCAGAGGTACCGACAGAAGACCTAAGTGTAAACATGAGGGCACCTGGGTAAGAACAGCTGCTGCAATGGTCCTTTCAGAGATGTGCATCTTCGGAAGGATGTGGGGATGGCTCAAGGGTAAAGAGCACTGTTTGCTCTTCCAGTGGTCCAGGGTTTGATCCCCAGCAACCACAGGGTGGCTCACAACCACCTGTAACTTCAGTTCTAGGGATCCAGCACCCTCTTCTGGTGTGCCTGAGTAGAACATGCACATGGTGTAGATATATTTGCAGGCAAATTACTCATCAGCATAAAAAAAACCCTCATTTTTACATAGGATTTTCTAAAGACTATGTTTCCTGGGAGATTTATTTTAGCCTTTAAATCCTTAAATAAAAATCACTACCTTTGGGCTGGAAAGATGGCTCAGTGGTTAAGAACACTTCGAGAGGGCAGGGTTCAATTCCCAGCACCCACATGGCAGCTCACAAATGTCTACAATTCCAACTCTAGAGAATCAGATACCTTCATACAAAATGCACATAAAGGTTTTTTAAAAATCACTACCTTTTGAATCAAATGAAATATTAAGTGGAAAATAACCATAATAATTTTGATCTAGTCTTTGGGGCAGTCATTCCATTCCCATAAAAGAAACTGCAGTGAAGTATGTGATACATGGAGTCAACACTTCTCCGTGAACCCCACATCATGTAACAGCTTGGTCTGTGATGGCTCAGCCCTGTACCACATGACTACTAATGACATTAGAATCATGTGATGGTTCAGCCCTTGTGTCACGTGACCACTAAGGACCTTAAAAAATCAAGGCTTCGCAGCCTCTTTGCAGATTGAAAATTTGCTTCCTCTGGAAGCAAAGTGGGCACTCTTTGGCATGAGCAGATATTGGATCGGATAAAAATGAAGCCTAAATATTTCTATGCACATTTGGGTTCGAGTCACCAACATAATCAATACCCTCTGATCCCAGGACAGTACTTGTTACCAGAGAATGAGCTCCAAATGACTCCAGGGGGAAAGGTGGCCATGAGAGCAAGCGAACCTTGTTAACATTATCACCCAAGAGCCCCGTGTGGGTGGCAGGAAGCCAGGACAGCTTCTGCCATGAACACACATGAACACACATGTATGCCACGGGTGGGCACGGGTCTTCTAAACGTCTTGTATGCAGGCACATAAATCCAGTAGTGATAGCCACTGCTGCTTATCATTTCTTCCTTTAGACATTTTATGTATTTTACATGTATGTGTGTCTAGCCTGCATATATGTTGATGCACCACATGCATCGTTAATAGACGGTTGTGAGCCATCATGTAGATACTGGAAATTGGATCTAAATTCTCTGGAGGAGCAGAGATGCTCCTTAACCACTAAGCCATCTCTCTAGTCCCTACTTACCATTTCCTATGGGCTAGGATGTGTGCTAACTTATTCATCTATATGACTTTTATATCCTATCAATCTTTTTATTTATTTATTTATTTATTTATTTATTTATTTATTATATAGTGTTCTGGGCACCAGATCTCATTATAGATGGGCGTGAGCCATCATGTGGTTGCTGAGAATTGAACTCAGGACCTCCAGAACAACAGTCAGTTCTCTTAACCTCTGAGTCATCTCTCCAGCCCCTATCCTATCAATCTTGATGCATTTTATAGAGGAAGAACTAAAGCTCAGGACAAACAGGTATGCCAGGGTCCCACTCTCTAGACTATAACTTAGGTTTGTCTCCACCACGGACAGACAACCCAAGGCAGAAACATTTAAAACGTCTCATTACAATGTGCCCAGTTATTTTCTTTTCATTTTGTTGGGGGGAACCATCCCACCTCTGAGAAACTGTTGTCTCCTTCGTTAAGGGAAATAATAACATTGGAGCCACCAAAAAAAGTCACCATTCTTATGTCTTTTCTGATGCCTTTTGCTGGGATAGATTTCCGAGTAAAAAGGTGATCCAAAGCAAGGTAAAAGGACAACAAATCAATCCTAGGAGAGTCTCTGTGAGTTCAAGGCCACTCAGGGCTATATAGGCATGACTTTGATCCATAAATATTTCTTGATCTGAAAAGTCATTTGGACACAAGAGGATTTTTTTTTAACCCTTTCATGCCACAGCCTAGCTATGTAACTTTTTGGTTTATAAATTTCAGCACAGGTTAAGTTAAACAAAACAAAACAAAAACACATGATTCCCCAAATCTCCTCAAACTGGATGGTTAATAGCAATGGCTTTACTATTTCCCGTTCCTTTCATTAATGGCATTCCAGTCCTTCACAGTTCATCTCTCTTGGGCGGGACACTTCAAAAATCCAAAATGAAGGTCTGTGCTCCCGGGTCACACTTTATGACAGTTTCAAGGCTGCCCTTCGGTCCCCCAGATTGCCCAGTGAGCCTGTGGTACATTCAGAGCAAGTGAAGCAGGGGTATGGATAAGGTCACAGACCGAGATACGTGGGATGCAATGCCAGCCATTTTTCTAGGCTCTGAGATTTCGGAGATGTACGCATCACATGAAACTGTACGTAAGGGAACAGGAAGCCACCATGAACTTAGCCTGGCTCACCTGTGAGTCATCCATTACCTCTGGAAATGGGCTTAATCTAAAGGTGAATGGAAAATACTGACCTGCCACTGTGGGGTGAAACACAAAAGGCCAGTCACAAAACAGAGGGGATGGTCTTTTATTTTTTCAGCTATTCACGACACAGGGGGGTTCTGCCATGCTGAGGGAGCTGCCCTGATTACCTGACCCCATGCATGCCAGTTTCCATTAGACAAAGACGATAGGGGAGCTTTTGTGGTGTTCAAAAAAGCAAACAGATCAATTCCAGGCAGTCCTGCCTCCCCGGCCCGTACCTCCCACCATTGGTAGGAAACACAAACAAGATCTTAAAATGACAGATCTGTGTATCAGCCGCATTCTCCTAATGAAACCATTTGTCACTCCGGCCTTCATTGTCACGCTGAGAAGAAATTCAACATGCTTTTCTGAACCCATTATCTTTCTGCAGATGAAAGAATGGGCCTTGTAAGTGTATTCTAGGGCGGGAGTTCTCAGGAACGATGCTCACTTTCGGGCAGAAATCATTTATTTACCTTCCAGCAGGGAATGTCCCGGGGGCTCATGGCCAGGAGGGTTCTGTGTCTACCCACGAGTCCCCCAAGAATGCAATCAGGTGGGTGAGGGGCCTCTTCAAGAGGCCCCTGTTAAGCAGATTAGACGGAGAATTACCAGCTCACAAGCTGAGAAACCAGGGCGGGCGCTCAAACACAGAGGACCGCTGGAGCATTGTTGAAGAGCACCAGGAACCCCGCACCTCCCTTGTGGAAGGGACGTGACATGCTAATCTCATCTATTAGAAGTGCTCTTTCTAGACGTTTTCTTTATCTTGGGGGGAAAACAGAGGCAGCATGGACAGCTAGAACACAAGGCTTCGAGTGCTAGGATTAGTTAAAGCCTGTCAGTGGAGGGAAGAAGGCCCTGAAGGTTTTAACACTGCGGCTGGACTGGGGACCAAGGACTCTGGGAGCCGGATGAATGAGGCCTTAGAGATTAATGTTAAGCCACACTTCTTAAGCTATTGCTGGGAATCTTACGTTAGGAGCTCCACATCCACAGTCCAAACTGTCATGCCTCTGAATGTCAGAGTAACTTTACTTAAATGACTACTCTCATGCCAGGAAAGCAAGCTGGCAACGTGAATCACCTCTGTTTCAGGCCTCGGTCTCAGGGATGACTAAGAAGAGTAGGGAGCGCATACCCAGCCCATGTGAACCATACAGCCAGTTCTCCCCTGCTCAGCCTCGGCTTGACCCAGCAGCAAGGAGAGAATGAAAGTGCAGGCTGTGTTTAAGGTCAGGGCCCTGCGACTGTGTAACTAAAGACCGGGAGGCCGGGACGTGGGCACTACCGAAGTTTGCCAACCTGACGCATTTTGCTTCTGCTCTGACTCAATGTGGGTCGGTACAGTTGATATTTTTTAACTTCTCTGGCTATGATAATAAATGTAGCCATCTACAGCACCGCTCTGTGAGAATGCTCAGTAAGATACAAATCCATGACTGGGCCCCCCCCCCCAGAAGTTTTGTTACATTTTATCACTTGCTCCTTCATCCTTGGGAAAGCCGATTGGCCTTGTTTCCCATGGGACTTATCACTCCCTGAGGTTCTCAGGGCTTTGTGGGGGCCACGGTTTTGCTCAGAAGCGCTTTAAGACAAGTGGAATGGCTCCTGCATCCAGGCTGCCCAGCCAATAACCGCACCACTCCCAGAGAGGCGAATCTTCTAGCGGAGAATGTTCACCCTCAGTGAGCCAGCTGTCGCTTACAGTAGGGCTCATTAATCTCCTGTCCTTTTCCGAATGCCACCGTGCACACATTTGCTTTCATGACTGCGGCGGGCTGGCAGATTCAGTGAGCTGCAGACCTGGTTCTGACATGCGCACTCCCCCATCAGCCCATCCTCCAGCACGCCATCCTCCAGCACGCCATTCGCAGTGGAATCTCCCATGTCTGTCTGTCCCACTTTTAAGAGTAACCACAGAAGGCAAGGGGAGACGAACATTCAAGCACTGGTGGGTGGCTCCGGCTGAGGGCCTTTTCAGTATTTCTCACCCAGGGGTAACATTTTCCACGACTCTTTAGAAAACCAGCCATGTTGCATCTTTTCTCCCAAAGTGTTGGGATACACACCTGGGAAATGCCCATCACGGGATCTCAGTTGTGGCAGGCCTGTCTACCGATGGGGGCCAAACACAGACACTGCAGAGGTCTAACCGACGACGCCTCGCTTCAACACAATAAAACGCCTACATTTTAAAGCTTTGTTCACAATCTGTAACGTTCTAGTTTCTAACTAGATCACTGCTGGAAAACTTATTCCATGACCTCAACTCTCCCCGGGGATTCTGGCAGGCTGACGCACTTCCTGATGACTCCAAGGAGAGGCTCCTTTGAAAGTTATTATCTCCAGCCTGAGTCACATTGTTCAGGGAAAACGAAGGTGGGTGGGGTACAGACAACTGTTGGGATTTGTGTGTGTCTCCCCTTAGCTGCTCTACAAAGGCATCGCTTTCTCGATGGAATCCGCACTGAGGCCTGGTGACAGCCATCTCCCACTTGACCCGCACCACTTTGGGCAGAGGGGACAGGCGAGAAGCAGCAGCTGCTGGACACACTGCACGAGGAATCCGGAATGGCTGTGGCTGGAAGGCTGGGCCATGCCCAGTGCCAAACCTGCCCCCTTACACCAGCAAGCAGGCGGCCAGCCTGGGGACCCCGGGCTTTCTATAGGCGCAGAAAAGTACTTGGAGAGCTACCTCAGGATCTCAAGTCTCCAAATCAAATACAGCTGCCACTTTGTTATAGAAATGCAAAGTAAATAAATAAATAAAAATAATAAGGTTTATGTCACCAATAGTGGGGTTGATGGGGGGGGGGACTGGTTTTCAGGGTTTGCCTGTAGTATCACTGACACCAAACGTTTAGCAATGTTCAAATCCCCCTCTCCTCTTTCCACAAATGCTATTTTCCCAAAGCGTTACCATGAATTTTCATTTGGATGCGTGTTTTAAGTGGTCCAAGAAAAATGTGAAATACTTTGTACATGATGGGAATTTCAACAAATACTTCCTTATTTTTCCTTATAACCTATGCTACCAACACAGTCCTGTTGGCAATGACAACCTGGTTAAACACCAACCAACAAGTCCTGTAAGGTTGTTCCCTGGCTATGATAAAAAGACTTCTTCTTAGAAGTCTGTCTAATGAGTATCTTCCTTCTGAGATCAATTTTCTGGAGCCAAGGGGGCACATACTCAATGGGTTTGACTTTACACTGGTCCTGAGTTTGGGGTTAACTCAATGAATAGATGAACAAGGATGAACAGCCCAACCTTACCCCCGACACAGACAGGTGTTGGTCTTTTCTGTACCCAGGAACTTCAACATTTGAAATAAGATGACAAGAGACATGGCCAACTAGTTTCCTTCTGTGTACAGAAGGCTAGGCTTAGAGCTAGGCACCCACCTGCCTGTTGAGTGGTCCCCCATCTGCAGTCTGCAGCCGTGATCCGTGTTCACTGATCTGTACTGGAGAGCGTGAGGCATGCTCTCCCAAGGGAAGGCCGCAGCCTCGCTCAGCATCGTCTTGGTCTGCTCCATCTGTCTGGTGACCGCCCTGGACACCGAGCTCAGCAAACCCAGGCACGTTCTCTGGATGTTCGCTCTGAAAGAAGCACACAAGATCATAACTTGGCTTACAACCTTTTGTTCTATAGAGTAACTTTTCCCCTGAGACAGTGTCTCATTGTGGGAGTAGCCATGACCAACCTCTGTGTGGGACCAAACTCCTGGTCTCACACGAGCCTCCTCCTCACACTGCAACTCTGTGTGACCTGCAGGTGATCTGGTCCCCAGACTTCTCCTTGGGTAAGCCCTCACCTGCAGGTGATCTGGTCCCCAGACTTTTCCTTGGGTAAGCCCTCACCTGCAGGTGACCTGGTCCCCAGACTTCTCCTCGAGTAAGCCCTCAACTGCAGGTGATCTGGTCCCCAGACTTCTCCTTGGGTAAGCCCTCACCTGCAGGTGACCTGGTCCCCGGACTTTTCCTCGGGTAAGCCCTCACCTGCAGGTGACCTGGTCCCCGGACTTTTCCTCGGGTAAGCCCTCACCTGCAGGTGACCTGGTCCCCGGACTTTTCCTCGGGTAAGCCCTCACCTGCAGGTGACCTGGTCCCCAGACTCCCCCCCCAGATGCTAGTCTCACTCACTGCACTTCTTTCACGTATGCAGCAAAGATGCTCAATTTATTAGAAAAGATGAATGCAGTTCTATTCTTTGTAAGTGATGACTGCTCACAGAGGCAGCTTTACAGATGACAGGAGGAGGAATCCCAGTGTATTATCAACAAGAAACCTCAGAACCACATCTAGGTTTGGCTTCGCCATGTTGCTCCATAGCACAGACCCTGGGAACCTGGTTGAAATAATTTTTAAAGATGTTCTTCAATCTGAGGAGCGAGAATTACCATTCACACAGTGTTCACTAGAGTTAAAAACAGGCAAAAGGCTGCAGCAGCTCAGGGGCTCCAACTGCTCACCAAGCAGGAGCAGCTGTGTTAGTAGCTAGTGTGGCTGCACTGGTCGCCCATGCTGTGTGTCACTGTACTTTGACAGAGAACAAGACTGGGGACAGGACAGGCATAGTCACAGGGAAGTCTGACTTGTGCTAATAAAGAGTTGGTCAGTGACAAGTACAGTGGCCCACACCTGCAATCTCAGCAGTCTGGAGGCTGAGGTATAAGAACTTCTGTGTCCAAAGCCAGCCTAGGCTCCACAGAAAAATCCTGTTTCAAAAAACAAAAGCCTAAGGGGTAGGAAGCTCAGGGGCTAAGAAGACAGGCAGCTCTTGCACAGAGAGGGACTTGGGTTTAGTTCCCAGCACCCACCTGACAGCTCATAATCATCTATAACTCTAGTTCCAGGCAGATCTTATAGTCCCTTCTGGGTTCTGCAGGCCCCGGGTACCAGCCACACACATGGTGCACAAGACATACAGGCAGGCAAGACACTCGTATACCAAACAAACAAAACTAAATAGAAAGCAACAAACTCTGCTCTCTAAATCTAGGAACTGAGACACAAGGGGTCAACATATACAAATGTCGGAGGTGACAAAGGGACCTGTGAGGCCCAGAAGGGAGCCTGAAAAAGCCGGGGGATGGGCGGGACACATTTGTGCACTTGCTTTATAAAACCACTGAGCTCGACCTTGGGGTGATGACCAGATAGCCTTTAAAGATTTATATCCACCCACAGCAAAGGGGATATGAGCAAAACCATTCCAGAGGGGAATTAAAGACCTTAGAGCACTTAGAGCCAAATCCAAGTACAACACTTGCTTGTTTTCATGCATGCCTGGATAGGACACGGTTCCCATGGCTTGGATTGATAGCAATAGATAAGTAAAAAACAAGAGGACACAATGGGTAAGACAGCGGTGTGGGGGTGTCCAGAATAAAGCAGATGCAAACTAAATAGGTTGCACGGGCGGGCGGCCCTACCTCCGCGAAATCCTCTCCTCCCTCCTCCATCTGCTTCCCTTGGCGCCAGTGTTTCAGCAGCCACCTGAGCTTGACATAGAAAAGGAAAATGTTCTGCTTCAAGGACCGGAGCTCCTGCTGCAGCAGATTCTTCTCGTCGCTCCAGGTCCGCTTGTGAAGGGTGTTCTGCAGGGCCAGGCTGTGCATCTCCAGCTCTTTCCACCGCAAGGCGTAGAGGTGGTCCTCCTCCATCTTGAACAGAAGCAAGAAGCAGCTGTGACCAGAGGCTGCGCCGCCGCACCATCCCAGCCTGACCACGGTTCTCAAGAGCAGCCCATGTCCAACCTCAGTGGTACACAGGGGACGTGAAACATCAGAATCCTTACGCGGTTAGGGTGATTAGTGACACCCAGATGTACCAAACCGTGAATTTTGTGATTTGGAAGCAGGTGCTATTTCAAAGGAAGGCACTGCAACCATCTTCACTGTCAGCCTCTCTCCACGCTTTTAGATTATCTCCAACCCCCCACCAGGAAAAATGCTATTTGGATGTATGGCTTGCGACGGACTCAGATGCCATTTAAGGAGACCCCATCTCCCCTGTATGCCTGTGCTTGGCACACAGGGGCTCATTACTATGGCAGGGAAGAATAAGAAACCCACCTCTTCCTGAGGTTTCTGGCTCCTCTTGAGCCCTGGTAGAGAACACTGAGACAGCGGAAGGGCCACTATGCGCCGCAGAACTAGAGCGGGTGGCTCAGAAAGAAGTCTTCCTGAGCTCGCAGGACTCAACTGAGTACACCACTGGGCAATCATGCATGCTCATTAAATGTGTTCATCACTCAGGGAAACAAAAACTTCCCATCTCTCCATTTCTGAATTAAGTTCCTCGGCTTTTTCTTTTTTAAGACGGGGTCTCACTACGGCCCTCAGACTGCCCTCTTGGGTTAAAAGCAAACCTCACGCTTCACCCTAAAACGTAGCTATAACACTTGAACCACAGACATGTGCCACCACACCTGGCTAAGGTTTTTTTTTTTTAAATTTCTTTTTCTTTTTTTAAATATCCATACGGAGCTCTTCTAAGCAGGAAGCAATTCCTGTGTCAGTACTAAGCAAAAGGTTCAAATAAAATCTTACTGTCCAGGTAAAGACACAGGGATAACCTTTATTGTTGTGGAAGTGATACAGGAAACCGAGGGCTTCTGAATCAGAGCAAAATGAGGGTCAGAATGGCAGCCCTACCACTGCCTTCTGACTTAATGCGTAGACCAAGGAAGTGTGCTAGATTAATCCTCAAGAACCACAGGATTACAACTACGGCTGCCTGGTGGAGACAGCAATACGGCTGATGAGGGCTGATACTCTTGAGAAGGTCCACATGGCCATGCAGGGACCTAGCATCTGCTCTACACTGGATTGCGAGCTGGAAGAGGAAGCACCCGCTCAACAGTCCTCGGAATGGCCATGCTGGTTATACCCAGGACATGATGGCACAAAGTGGGGGACAGCCTCACTGGCAACCCAGCTCTGCAGCTCCTCACTGCTCTGTCCCCGACCGACCACCTCAGTGGCTGTGAAGACAACAGTAACTTTCCCCGCTGCTGCGGAAAGGTCAAGGTTCAGGGAGCTGGACCTCTGAGGCGCTCAACTGACTCCTGGCAGCACCTGTCCAGACCCTAGGCGACCTGAGGACCTCCGTCCATACTCTCCCGTCTGCTATCTTTTGTGTGTTCACTGGGGGCCTGAAGAGCTCAGAGCCTGGCCTTTTGCTCTTTCCAACACCTAAAAGAGAACGCCTCCTCCCTTGAAGGCTTGCTTTCCAACCTAGTCCTTTATTAAGCCACAATGGGACTCCGCTACCGTGTCACCAGCGTCTCCAGTGATGATCTCACCTCTCAAAGCATTTTTGAAGCCATGAAAATGGCTGCATGTGAGTGCATATGTGTGCATATGTGTGCATGGGGGGTGGGGGGGGTAGATGTCCCTCTTACCTAACCCTTTCTCTTTGGTAATGAGATGCGAAGCTTTACTTCTACGGGGAACCCTTCCGAAAGGAGTGTGCAGCTGGGGAAGACACAGGAGGAGACACCAAAGAGTCTGGTACCCAACTGTGCATGTTCTAAGCTGCAGGGTAGGGCAGACGCTCCCTTAATCAGCCTCTCGGTCGGATCGTCATGGAGGTACCTGCCCACAGCACACATTCCCAGCCAAAACAATCCTTGGATGTACCGAATGACTCATTTTGCATAGCATATGTGTTTCTGGAGCATCAAGGTACATTACTCGATGCCAACGGCTCTGCTTTGCTTCCTTTCGAAGCTACGGCTCTCTTCTAAGAACGAGCACAGGGGAGAACAACCGTGGCAATTCTGTATCTAGATACAGTTCACAACTTAATGAGATGCAAGGTGGCAGGGCAGTGTCCTTGGAGACCCAGGGCAGGAGCACCTGGATCAGGGAAGCCCCTAGTGGATAAAAGGGATAATTAGTCCGTAATACGTAATTTTAAAAATAACTACAAGCTAATCAGGTCATAGCCCAATTAGTGGCTGTTTTCTGAAGGCAACACTTTAGGGTGAGTCGGTGTTTCTATTGGATAGCTCCCTTCACGGTGACAGACACACGGACTGGTCTCATTTAAAGCCCTTGGTTCATGTTAGTGGTGGGCATCACTGCTCACCTGCAGATTTTCCTGAAACCACATTTCTCCCTATCCAAGGTCTTGTTTTCTGTAGTTTGTCATCGGTGGGCAAATTGCAGTCCAAAAATATTAACTAGGAAATTCCCCCAAATAGTTGATTCATCCGTCTTAAATGTTTACTGCACGATATTGTTATAAAGATTTGGTTATCACTGTTCATCCCTACGGTGCATGATCTACAAGTTAACAATACAGGAATATAAACAGCCGGTGAGAGCTTTGGTACTCTCTGTGGCTCCAGGCATCTCTAGACTGTCCTCGCATGGCTTCTCCGTGGCTTAGGGGAGTCAACATTACTGAAACAAGTGCTGCAGAGTACCTAGGTGGACAGTTTGCACTGGTGCATCTAAGAGGGAGCCTCTCCACCGAATGACCTGTCTATACGCCTATGGGTCTTGGCACCTGCAGGCAACAGACAGCATTATTTTAGGATGCATCGTGGCATTGCTCCCGAGGCACTGGGAGCGGATGCGCTGGGGATCCTCATGAAATATTTACCTTACGGATCTTGTTTGTGTATGTCTCTGTCTCCTCTTGATGCAGTCTGGCCGCCTGGGCGAGCTGACCCTGTAGCTCTTCCAGCGACACACTCTGCTCGGGTAAAACGGGGGAGCCCCTGAGCTGATTGGCAGGATAAAGGAAGGGTTTAGTGGAAGAGAGAACTCTGCCTCAGGTGGTGACGCAGGACACACAACCGGACGAGGTGACACACACAGGGAACACAGCACAGCGGCTGCAGCAGTGGAGTGACCACCAACCTCCTCCCAGGGCTTCTCACAGGGGAGCCGTGCTGCTCTGGGCCCAGAGGCTCTCTCAACTTCCCTGTATCTTTCTTTACACGGGAGAGGAGACAACCATAAACTAGCTGTCGTAAAAAACCAGGGTGTGCAAGAAAGCTCTCTGCTACCCACAGGGGCTTCTAGGTGGTTCGTAACATCCAAGTAGGGCTCGGTGATGACGTCCCAGTCCAACTTGGCCACTATCACACAGTCAGCCTCCGGGATTTACATCCCCAAGCCAATGGGGTCTTTCTAGGGGGTCCGACTAATCTGGCCATAGGCTTGCATACTGGGGATTTTTCCAAGGGTGCCTTTAATCCCACAGCATGTCTTCTAAGATAGACACCTGCTCTTAAGGCTTTCTGTGTCACACCGTGTCCAGGAACCCCAAGGATCTCATTAATACTTACTGCACTCCAACCTAGGGAGTTAAGAAACTCAAGAATGCAAGATCATGAAGTTACTCTGGTCTGCGAGTTGTTGGACAGTGTTGTGGGATTTCCTTGAATCTATCATGATGACTAACTTCAATGCTACTGGCTTAATTTCTTTTAAACTGTGTGCCGACTTGGGTAACAACAGCTTACTCTTCCCTTGTGCCTGCCTGGAGCAGTGCTCAACACCCTGTTTATTGTCCATCTGATAATCCCGTTTGTTATGTGAAGATCTCGGCTGAATGCTGGTGTTCGCTTTACTCCCTACTCTTTCACTTCCTCGTATTCTATTTCATTTTGAAGTTTGGTATCTTTATAAATAAAACCCTTCGTCTGTCTCCTACAGGTATATATGATGCATTTTGTTCATATTTGCCACCTGCTCTCCTCCATCCCCTCTCACCTTCTCTTCTTCCCACACTTCCCACGTTCATGTCATTTTTGTCCTTATATAATCCACGCAGTTTAGTTCGGACTGTCTGTACGGACGTGGCTGCAGGTTTATTTGCCTGCTCTAGACGGTGGACATTTTTCTAACCATGTGTTTGAAGTTCCGCACTGTGAGCTCAGCCTCAGTGGACATTTATTTAGTGATAGTTCATATAATTTAGTTGGCAGTGTGGGTGTGATTCCAAGTTGACTTGTGCTTGCCAAAGACATCGTTTTAGACATAACCCTCGGTGACTCTTAGAACGAATGGGTAACCTAAGTTCAAATCTTGGTCCCGGGTAAGGTCAGCCATAGTTCCTTTTCCTCTCAGTCTCACACCTGTGCTGGTAGACAGGTTCCTGTGGCCTCACTTCTGCCTACCAACCTGTAGGCAAATGTTTTTCCTGCTCACTGATGTCATTCTCTGCCAATGGTCTGGACCAACACCGTGTCTCCTGTTCCTTTGGAACTACTGAAGTCAAGGGTCACCACCCCTGGCAACTACTGTCCAAAGTCACATGTCTAAAGGCCGGATACTGCTCTCTGTCCAACTGGAGTGAGTTCCGACTCTAGAAGACGCCTAAGAACTCACTATTGAAATAGATTATATATATTTTTTTAATTATGTATTTTTGTTTATGTGCCTGTGTGAATTTATGCGCGCCTGTATATGAAGGTGCCTGCAGAGGCCAGAAGAGGGTGCCAGAGCCTCTGGAAGCGGCATTATACTTGCCTGAGAGCTGCTGGGTGTGGGTGCTGGGAAGCAAACTCTGGCTCTCTGGAAGAGGGGCCAGTGCTCTGAACTGCCGAGGCATCTCTCCAGCCCCGCTGTGCCTCACATTTTCTGCAGGGGATCCGGGTATTTACGATTCTGGGCACCACCTACAGGACTGGGGTCACACCAGGGAAGATTCTGCAGCTCAGGCATTTCTACAGGGTTGTTTCAGGGGGCCTGGGTGCTTCCTGCCAATTTTCCTTTCTAGTTTCCCCATTATGGGTTTGAAATGTGAACACTCTCGATTTCAGAGTCTTAGATAGCAAAGCGCTGTGTTGCTAAGCCACAATCAGACATTCTCATCAAGTTCGCTGTTATGAAAAGCATATCATGTGATACCTTGGAAACAGCACCCAGACTAAATACAAAATTCACTTACGCTTTATATGCACCTTATACCCAGTCTTAACACAATTTTATACATTTTTAATAATTCTGTGTGTGATATTGCATGGTACGGAGTTTTCTATTTATGGAGTTATGTGGATATTCCAAAGTTTCAGGCGTTGGGATATTTTGTTGTTCAGTTCAGATATGCTCACTCTTATATACTTTAGTTTTAATCTTAATAAATATTTAAAATAATTATAAAGAGCTAAGCCTCATTCATCAGCAACACCTGACTGCCGGCACGCCTTTCTGTTTGCTCCACACTTGTGCAAGGTCACAGGGAGAGCCCTTGAGGTCATCTGAGGGTATTCACCTGGGGCAACAATTTCTTACGGGTGGCCCGGACCGGCTGTGTAGACCACACCCGCTTTCAAGTTTCCTTTTGCTAGTGAAGTAAGAACTAGAACACTTGTGGTCACTCCAGTGTTACAAAGAACGAAACACAAACATGCCGTGTCGGAAATTCTTTCTAGAGTGGTTCTACGGCCACACAACGGCAAACAATCACGTACACGGAGGGAACACTGGCACGCAACACAAAGTTCCTGTGGCAAAACACGTGCTTTATCACCAAGTCCCCAAGGTTTGCTCATTTACCTATTCTGGGCATAACAACAGATGACGTCACCCTAATTTTTTTTTCTATTGAGTCAGTCTATTTAAACACGAGACCTACCTGTTCCTGTTCTGTGGCTGCCAAGACACTAACCTTGGCATCAAACCTCCCTCCCGTCGGCATCCCGACACCCACCACCCACGCCCCTCCCGCTCACCCGCAATGATAACTTTCTGACCAAGTCCAGAGAAAAAGCAGCTTATAAATTAGCCCCAGGCTTAAGAACATGGCATCGCTATCACAATAAGCAAAGGGAGATTGCTTTTTTTCCCTGTGGCCCTCCACTACCCAGGAACCGCGAAGACAATGGAACCCCGCAACTACTCTAGGACCACGACTTCACTTCCGGTGCGTTCCGTTTTGTCCTGGCCACTTTTCCCACCGTCCCTTTCAGACTTGGCAGATGAGGTCCACACATGCACAAATGCTTGGCACGAACCCAACCACGCAGTTTTCCCGGGACTGGTATTTCACAGCTGAGGCATGAAGGACCACAGATGCCGTGCGCTTCGGCGATTAAAGGGGATAAAGAGGAGGAGCAAGCGAGACCTGACCCAGAAACTCAATCCTATGGCTCAAGGCTTGGTTTCATTGATGTATGAAACCCGACCGGTGCCCGTGCTTGGCCACTTCTCACTCAGCACTATTTTTAAGGTGCCCTGCACATTCCACGTGAAACGTCCTATACGATGCGTGCTCCTAACGAGCGAATCTCTTGGCACGCTTAATGGGAAACACAGGGGCAAAGTCGGGGGGGGGGGGGGGGGGAGCCCAGGGCCCACAGGGAGCCTCCTGCCAGTGCACTCTGGGGTGAACAGGCAACAGGAATGTCGATCTTTCTAAGTCTGGCTGTCCGTAAGATCTCCTGGCTGCTAACTTCTGTGCGTTTGCATCGGGGAGTCAGCAGGTGAGATGAGTTCCCGACTTCTACCTTAGAGCATGCTGGCTAGGACACATCTTCCTGTCCTAGGTTTGGTGAAGTGTGGCGTGCCAACAGCAGGCCATCTATGTTACACCTGCTTGCTGTCTTCATAGAGTGAACTTTCCTTTCCCTCCTTGCTGTTAGCAATGCTGGCTGCCATTAGTGTTATTAGTAGTGACCATAGCTTAAACCAGGGCAAATATATGTCTCATCACACCTCCAGGCACCCACGGGTCTATTGGTGTTTGTGTGTGTGTGTGTGTGTGGTGGGGGGTCATACTCCAGTTAGCCATCACTCCAGCTGACGGGAGAGTTGCAAGTCTGTGGTGATATTTTGTTTATGCAATAACAAAGCTTACCTGAAGATCAGAGGGCAGAGCTAAGCCACAAGTTAGCCACAGAGGCCAGGCAATGGTGGCACACACCTTTAAGCCCAGTATTCATGTTCAAGGCCACCCTGGGCTACACAAGATTGAATCTTAAAGAGAAACAGAGCTCACACAAAGGTGATCCCAGCACTTGGGAATCACAGGCCTTTAATTCCAGCACCAGGGAGAAGGGAGTGATAGGGCTGGGTGGAAAGAGGAATATTAGGCGGGAAGAGCCAGGAGCGCAGGCAGTCTAAGGATTCACAGAGACGGATGGAGTCTGAGGATGCATGGGGAGAGGACCACCCTTTTGATCTGAGCATTGGTAGAGGTAAGAACTCTAGTGGCTGGCCACTCTGCTTCTCTGGTCCCTCAGCTTTCACCCCTATGGCTGACTCCGAGTTTTTCATTTAGACCAATTAGAACTCGTGTTACACAAGTTAACCACACACAACTACATACACTCCCTAGTTATTTCAACGCAAAGATGTTGATTGAGGGGGCTGGAGAGATGGCTCAGTGGTTAAGAGCATTGCCTGCTCTTCCAAAGGTCCCGAGTTCAATTCCCAGCAACCACATGGTGGCTCACAACCATCTGTAATGAGGTCTGGTGCCCTCTTCTGGCCTGCAGACATACACACAGACAGAATATTGTATACATAATAAATAAATAAATATTAAAAAAAAAAAAAGATGTTGGTTGATTCAAGAAGGTTCTACTGGGTTCCACATCCTCTTGTAACATTAACCTCAGAGCGTTACCATGGGTAGGAAATTTCACACTGAGACACCCAGTGAGAAGGGGGAGGGAGACAGAAGGCAAGGAGACTCGGTGAACCCAGCAGCTCGCTTACCTCTAGGCCGAGACAGCTCTGTCCTCCCAGCCCAAGGCTCCCGGGATCCCCGTCAGCACGCCGGTGCAGTTCCCGAGTGGCTCGGAGGCGCAGGCCCTCTCTCTCGTCCCCTGGATCCTGACTGAGCTGCCACTCCAGCTGGTCTTTCAATTTGGACTGTTAAGTGCACAAAGGGGGTGAGATGTATTTTGTTTTGAATTTTTTTTTTAAAAAAAAAGGAACGAAAGACAAAGGGGAAGGTAAGGAGTCGGGGGGGAAAAACAAAAGTCGGCAGACGATGGGGAAAAAAAAAAACTACCAGACAGAGTAAAGCATGAATGAATAGGATCAACTTAAAACACTTGAAACAAACGGGGCATGAGGTAAAGGATGCGCTAACACGGAAAGCGGGGTGAAGGGGGGGTTCTGAGACGCATGCAATGGGGACACAAGCACACTACCCATGAAGGACATAGGGAAGAGGCTCTGCCTTCCTTACTTGCTGAGCAGCCAAAGCCACAGTCCAGGGTGGCAGCTGGGCCATGCACCCAAGGCGAAGCCTGGGAAAGTGGTCCTTTGCAGGGCTGCTCCCCTTGGCGAGGGAGGGTGGCAGGAGCGAGTGGCAGCGGGGTTTTCCATCGGAACCAGCCTTTTCAGAACCGGCTCCTCTCCCCCATCCTGGGTTATCTTCCAGAGGGAGTAGGTGGGGCTGGGATGTCTGAGACTTCTCAGAACTGCACTGGTCCCTCTGGCAATAAACCCAGAGGGGGCCGGGCGCTAGTTACTGAGTCTAAGTGTCCTGACTGTGACCGGAGTTGTGCTTTGTCTTAAAACTCCTCATAGCTTCTTCGTCAGGGTGGCTGGTTAGGTTGAGACACCAAGGAGGGAACAATGGAAGGCTGCATCGGTCCCTAGCGCCTCCACTGGGCTTAGCCTGGTCACAGAAGGCCCTCTAAACCAGGAATCGCAGTGCAATTAAAAGTGAACAGGGGAAGGAACAAGGAGACGAAAAGGAACTCACAAAACAAAATTAAAAGAAAGAAAAAAAAAATGAAACCAACCAAGAGAGGTTTGTTTGACGCCGAGGCTTTAGTACATTGCGGGTCTGAAATCAAAACCAAGCAGCCGTGAGCAGCGCGAGCCCCAGAGCAGCAATGCCAGCGAGAAGGAGGAAGAACGAGACCGAGCAGGGAGGCGAAGTCGCAAGCTCCCTTACCTGCAAGTCTGGGCCCAGCTCCTTCCCCAGGGTCCCGATGGGGGAGTCCCGGGACACAGAAGTCACGGTGGAGAGGAAGCTGGATGACTCTGTGAGGTGGGATAAGGGCGACAGACCGTCCACCATCCGGGTCATCTGCTCCAGGAAGGCTTGCAGCTCCTTCCTGAAAGCCTTCATCTTCGCGTTGATGGTCTCCAACAAGTGGGGCTCGTTCTGGCTGCCCTCACCTTCACCTTGGACCCCAGGCGAGGCCAATCCCCTGCCCCGCGGGCCTGAATCGTGGATGAAACCGTCTGTGTCGGCGATGAGGCGCTCCACTGTCCGCTCAAGCCGCTGGGCCTCCTGCTTTATGGTCACCAGGCACTCGGTGTCTTCCCGGACTCTGAAGAGTTCTGCTGGGCACGGCTCACTCGCCTCTGAAGGCTTCCCGCTCCCAAACCCTGAGGTCTTCTCGCAAATGTCCTCCGAGTCACTCTCGCCGCCGACAGGGCCTTCTCGCTTTGGCTGCGGCAAGCGGCCCTCCTCCCCGTCACTCTCCTTCTTGCCGGCATCACTGTCCGCGTCGCTGTCTCGAGGACTCGGTGCGTGCAGTCCCAGGTGTGCAGCAAGGTCGCACCGCTGGACGTTGGACAGCAGCAGCCGGTTCTCAAACTGCAGCTTCAGTACTTTCCCGCTCAGCTCATCGATCTGCAGCCACGCTGACTTCAGCTCCTCCTGCAGGGGAACGCTCGACCCGGGACCCTTAGCTACGCCGCCGTCCCCGAGCCACCCTGACGACTCCTGGTGAGGCTCAAACTTGAGCTTGCTCAGCTCGTGGGTCAGCTGCCGATTGTGGTCCTCGATCTCGGATATGGACCTCCTCAGCAGCTCGGCTTCTTCCTCCACAAACTGCAGGTGCCGGCGGAGCTCCGTGGAGGACTCCGGCGAGTCCCCGAAGGGTGAGGTAGGAATGCTTGGCATGTGGTCCCTGCCTGTCCCCTCCCGCTCGTGCTGAACCCGCATGTCCTCCATCTCTGCTTTGAGGCCACGGTTTTCCACCTCCAGTTCCACGATCTTCCGGCCCAAGATGTTGGCTTCCTCCTCCACCAGCTTCAGCCGCAGCTTCAGCTCTGCCTCCCGGGTGCTGGGGGGCCCACCCGCCTCCCCTGTGGGGAGGGGGCTGTCCACGTCACCGTAGAGGGACTTGTACTTCTGCAGTTCCTGCTCCAACGCGTCCTTTTCCCGGCCTAGCTTGGCCATCTTCTTGCGCATCAGGGAGGCTTCCTCTTTGGCAAACTGAAGCTGGCATTTCAGGTCCGCGCTGTCATCCTGCCAGGCAAGAACAGCCCGAGGGAGTGTTACCTGAAAGGATTGAATGCGTGTCTTCTGATCCCTCACACCTCAACCCCAACACACACACAGAGGCACGCATGCACGCATGCACACACGCATTCACGAATGTCCTTCTTCTTATTGGTGCTGTTGTCTTCTGGAGAGACAGGAGCCATGACAAAGCAGCAGTGAGCCCAGAGCCTTTGCAGATCAGGCCCAGGGAAGACCCATGATTCACTGTTTTGTCAAGAAACTGAACTGATAGTGGGGGGGGGGGGACCATGAACATAAAAGCCACACAAGTAGCCGGGCGGTGGTGGCGCGCGCCTTTAATCCCAGCGCTTGGAAGGCAGAGGCAGGCAGATCTCTGGGAGTTTGAGGTCAGCCTGGTCTACAAGAGCTAGTTCCAGGACAGGCTCCAAAGCTACAATGAAACCCTGTCTTGAAAAACTAAAATAAAAAAAAAAAAAAGCCACACAAGTTATATGTGAAGAAGGAGAAAGTTAAATGAAGTACGAGATATGTCAGTAACATGGTGGCCCCTGGTAACTTTGTAGAGCCAATACGGTTCACTGTCAGGACCCAGGAAAAAAAAAAATCATCAAAATCCCTCACCCAAGCTGGTGGCAGAGCTATATACATCCACCCTGCGGCCACTATAAACCTCTTGTGTGTCTGACTGTCTGAAAGCTGTTACCAGGACAAGTGTGAAGCTGGGGCAGAGCTTCTCCACGGACTAGCTGAGGGGCATGAACAGGGGTAACTCATCTCCCCCTAGCATGTCTCCTTCCTCAAGTACCCCGGAGGGACACGAGGACAGAACAGGGAGACAGCGGGCATCACAGGGTGTTGAAAGCTGAGGTCCTACGGAAGAACACACACTGAGAACACCCACGAGTGAACGAGAACCACTTCAGGGCCTTTTCTTCCGTCCTCTGTTCTAGTTGCTGTAACTACAGGAAATTAAACACAGAGACCAAAGAAAGAGAAGCTAAGGGTTTGCAAACCTGGGAAGTGGTTCTCAGCAGAGTACCAGAGAATTCAGAGGGCTCCCAAGGCAGGTGATCGTGGCCCTTGCCTGGCAGAGGTTAAGAAAGTCAACTGCCTTTTCAGCCTGGGCCCCAGGCCTTGAAGCAATCTGTACTACCTTGGCCTTAAGAAACTCTTATTCTTTGTGTTCAGTAAATAGAAAAGTGACGTTCACAAAGCAGCCCTGTTTGATCAGCCTCATAAATTCCAAAAGATCGACAGGGGCAGGGGTGATGTCGGCAAGGGCTCCCTCATCACGTGGAAGAAGTTCTCACACCAGCTCTGAGACTTGCTGCTGCCCAGGCTGTCACCCATGTGATGGAACAAGTCAATCTTCCATGAGTGACTGGCTGCATGCTCCCCCATGGCTGACTGGCTGCTGTGCTCCCCCATGCCTGACTGGCTGTAGTGCTCCCACCATGCCTGACTGGCTGCAGTGCTCCCCCCCATGGCTGACTGGCTGCTGTGCTCCCCAATGCCTGACTGGCTGCTGTGCTCCCCCCATGCCTGACTGGCTGCTGTGCTCCCTGCATGACTGGCTGCTGTGCTCCCTGCATGACTTGCTGCAGTGCTCCCCCATGGCTGACTGGCTGCTGTACTTCCCCATGCCTGACTGGCTGCTGTACTTCCCCATGCCTGACTGGCTGCTGTGCTCCCCCATGCCTGACTGGCTGCTGTGCTCCCCCATGGCTGACTGGCTGCTGTGCTCCCCCATGGCTGACTGGCTGCTGTGCTCCCTGCCTGACCGGTTGCAGTGCTCCCACCATGCACCATCCAGGAGGACTAATGACATTCTTTTTTTGTTTGTTTTTTGTTTTGTTTTGTTTTGTTTTGAGACAGGGTTTCTCTGTCGCTTTAGAGCCTGTCCTAGAACTAGCTCTTGTAGAGACCAGGCTGGCCTCGAACTCACAGAGATCCGCCTGCCTCTGCCTCCCAAGTGCTGGGATTAAAGGCGTGCGCCACCACCGCCGGCTTTAATGACATTCTTGGTCTCAGAGAGCTGCAGCTGCCCTGCCACATCCTGGCAGCACAAAGCCATCTGGTAGAAAGACACAGAAACGGCTTCCTTGGTGCCTCCAGCTTGCTGCTTGCCCATGTCTCCCTGAGCACAAACTCATGGAAGGAGACCTGAGTGACCGGGAAGATGCAGAAGAAAGCATGGCGTGCAGTCACCCTTGGGGACCTTGCATGATCTACGAGTGACACACTCCATGGCTGTCCTCAGGGGCCTCTTCCCCCAACACACACCCTCTGAGCAATGTGGAGAGTGATCTATACACGTCACAGTCTTCAAACTCTGAGAACTTCCACTCCGAGGATTTAGTCTTCGTTAGGCAGACAAAAAATAAATTAAATAAATAAAATAAAAATTTAAAAAAAAAGGGTTCCAAGACTAAAGTAAGAGTACCTGCCATATTTCTTTAGTTTTTGAGACAGATTGCATGTTTCGTTTTCTGAGGCAGAGTCTCTCTATGTAGCCCTGGCTCTCTTAGAACTCTCTATGTAGATGAGGCTGGACTTGAACTCACAGAGATCCACCTGCCTCTGCCTCTTGACTGCTGGGATTAAAAGTGTGCGCCACCAGGACTGGATGTTCTACTCTTTTAACCACTAGGCAGAAATGGGTTCACAGATTGTGGGATTGGACAGGACTTTCTCAGACAGGTCTTCATGCAGGTTGTAAGGACACACTCAATCCTAACACTAAGGAAGCACCCCCTGCTCCTTCCCTCGTTCATTCCTTCACTGTCTCTTGAACGTCTGCTGAGTAGCAGTGATTGGCATACATTTTTCAGCAGCCCGGATTTCTCAGAACATTCTAAAGCAAAACAATGAAAATCAGTTTCCCAGCTTCCTGCTAGACGAAGGTGCACACAGAATCCAAACACACTGACAAGTCTCTGCTTAAAGGAAGCTACAGTACTTATCAATGGAGACAGGCTGTAAATACTTTGTAACCACATTCTTTTAGGAGTTACATGCAGGAACTTGAAGTACTCGGTCTATCTTTAACTGGGTAACCTGAGTGTGCCCACTGGCCAGAACCGCCCAAGTGACCCCATTCCTACCTCCGCGCAGACAAACCCTTCAGGGGGACGACTGTTGAGAATGCCATTCAAACACAGACACCATCTCATCCTCTGCCTGCTTCCTGCCTGCAGCTCAAAGAGGCCAGACCAAGAGAGGTGCAGGGTCATCTGCCATAAACCAGAGGGGCCAGGGAGGCATCAGAGGGCCAGGGAGGGTCCTGCCTGGCTCTGGAAGCAATCGCCTTGAAACAGGAGCCTAGATCAGGGTCTCTCTGCAATCTCTCCTGGGGCAGAGGTGAACCAAGTGACTGGGAAAGGGGAATCCCCGAAGGCTCTGAGACTGAAGCTTACGAGAGTCAACCATCATCTGCTTATGCAAGCAGAATGTCCTTGACTCCTGCAGTCACCTGCCTTCTAGACAACCTGGACCTCACACCAATCTCCATCCTCCTCCTCCTCCTCCACGTCATCCCCAGCACCACTGTCCCCATCTTAAGCCTAGACCAAGGGACAGTCACGGCAGCGATTCCACAAAGGGCTGGAAGGGTGTTCAGGCTGCGGGCCACCTGAGGATTCATCATTGTCCGCTCTCCTTATCCTTGAAGAAAGCAACTATACAAACAGCAGGCGCTCTGACAAACGAGGAAGCATGCTGCCAACTCTACCAAGACCCATGCACACTACAGGACCGGCCACCAAAACCAAAGCAGGGGGCGGAGGAGAGAGAGAGAGAGAGAGAGAGAGAGAGAGAGAGAGAGAGAGAGAGAGAGAGCCTTGAAACCTGATAGGTGAAGGAAGGATGTGAAGGAGTTGGTCCCCCTCCCCATGTCACTGTAGTTGAAGCAGGACCCACACTAGTCTGTGAGGCCCAGGAGAGAGAAGGAGGGGTCCCTCTACCCAAGGGAAGCTGAGCTCAGCCTGTTCTGAGGCGCAGCTCAAACAGCTGGCAGCTATGTTATTGGCACGTAACCAGAGACGTCTCCGGAACTCTGCCAAGACTCTGGCGGAGGGATCTAGGTAGAATCCTAAACTGGAGTCACAAGCTTGAGTTTCAGGAGCCCATGGCTAGCTCCAGACACAGCACGAAAGCACACGTCAGACCCATCTTTCCAAGGGAAACTATTCCAACTACGGGCAGAAGGGGCAAGCATGGCGCGGGGTCGAAACGCACGGGGACCAGCACCATCACCAGTGGCCGGAAAGGCTTGTCAAGCAACAAAAATATATCGCTGCCGGTATATATTCTCTGGCTTGCAAGTCTGCCATCTAGCCCACACCCCAGCAGCCAGCTGCCCGTGTGCCTACCTTACGCCTTGGTGCCGGCTTCCTTTGGGTTTTGGTTGCCGACCTGCAGTTCCCAGGGCGTTCCATTCCACCATTCTGCTGAATAGAAGCTCCTTTCTCAATCGCCCTGCAGAGTGCGTGGAGCTACTCCACACAGCACGGGTTGCCTGTGCACACACCCGTGGATCTACAGCGCCTGTGCCTAGGCAAGTTATGCCCGACAGCTTCACCAGCCAGCAATTGCACTTTGAGGAAACAGCCCCTTTGCCGGGCAAGAGACACACTCTAAACCCAGGATACTAGAGACACCCAGCAGTGGGTGCCTTCAATTTTCCTGTGATCAATGGATTCTCAAATGACACTGGGGGAACTTGCGGGAGGATGGAAGAAATCAGGCTTGTGCAGAGTCCTCCAGTGATTCTGATTTTCTTGGGGACACGGGAACCAGGGTGTGGGAGTTTGAATGTCCCCCACAGTCTCCAGCATTTGAACACTTGGTCCCTAATTGGTGACACTGCTTGGTGAGGCTTAGGAGGAAGTGCACCACCGGGGGCAGGCTGGAAAGGCCTTCAGCCATCCACGTTTGATCTCTCCACTTCCTGCCTGAGCCTCAAGATGTGAGCGCTCAGCGCGCTACTCCAGCAACCCTGCCTGCCTGCTGCCAAGCTCCCACTACCTCGATGGTGATGGACTCTGGTCCTTCTGGAACCGTGAGTCCAAATAAACTCTTCCTTCCGCAAGTCGCCTTGGCCATAGTGTTCTTATCACAGCAATGGAAATGTAACTAATACTTGAGGGAATCAGAAACGGGGAGTTTCCAGGATGGTGTATACGGGCCCTTGAAGCCTCTTAGTAAGCCTGACTCACTGTGTCCCTCTCATTACGACTTGCTATTTTAGAGTCTGCTGAAACTATAGCAGTAACACCTTTGTTCTCTTGAAAAGCAATTTTAGAAAGAGAAAAGGAATCCAGAGGCAACTTCAAAAAAACGGCCTTGAAGAATACATACCCTGGATATAAAAGAGTGCCGAATTTTCTCAGTTTTCCTGCTAGAAAGCTCTACTTTCCAGTAAACGTGAGGCACTGTTCAGCTACATATTAAAAGCACACACATTCACGAAACAATGACATATAAATGACCCAGTGGCTGGGTTATGACACTATGTGAATGACTGTGAAGGCCACACAACTTTCTGGCAGTTAGGAGAGCTGCCAGACCCTGGACTACCCTCACTACTACAGTTTCCCACCAAGCCAGTTTGTTCTCATTCCTAACGAGCCTGCAGGTTCTCAGAGCGAGAGAGACAAAAGGACAGCGCTGTGGGTGTGTGCGGCTAAGAAAATGTCCACCCTGAAAAGACTGGGCGAAATCCAATGACTTGGCAGGTGACGTTTCTTTTAGCGTCCTAAAGGCAAAGAGGATTTTCAGAACGGGGTGGCTTCCTTCTTCGGGTAAGAGCCCCGGCATGAGAGCCTCCGCTTACCTGACTAGCGGCTTTCTTTTCTTTGTACCCTTCCCGGCTGCCTCTTCTCTTCAGGGAACTCTGAAAGAGATGCAGGCGTCGCTTTGTTACTCAGGGGGTCGCACATGACAGCCGGCCCTTGTCCCTCCTGGTGAAGCTACTCGACTCTAGAGAAAACAACACCCCTCTCCATGACATCTAACTGAGGTTGTGTGTGCTTGGTGAGTCTCTCTGAAGTACCGAGGTTGTTGATGTTCTAATTACTGTGGCTGGGGAGCAGTTCTCCGTTTACTCTGTTTAAGGCACAAAGTGGGCGGCTTCCACGAATTAACGGTGAAGAGAAGACAGGAAGACAAACACAGGAAGTTTCAGAAACAGATACACCGTAGTTCTGAATGTGGCTAATTTCCTAATTACACTCTAACTACTACCAGAATTGATTCAATGTGTTCTCAAAGGTCAGATTAAAAAAGCAGAGGCTCTTATGGAGAAAACATAATCTAGGTTGCAATATTATTAACAACCTGATACCATTAAAGCAACGACTCAGGAATATTTTAAAGCTTGTAAGTTATTATTACAAAGAAGCCTTGGAGGGGCTGGAGAGATGGCTCAGTGGTTAAGAGCACTGGCTGCTCTTCCAGAGGTCCTGAGTTCAATTCCCAGAAACCACATGGTGGCTCACAACCATCTGTAATGAGATCTGGTGCCCTCTTCTGGCGTGTGGGCATACATGGAGGCAGAATGTTGTATACGTAAGAAATAAATAAATACAAAGAAGCCTTGGCTCCTGTGTCTGCCTAGATTCCACACGGTCACCGCTCAGTCTGTGGATGGGATCTCCTGGATCCTGGAGAGACCAAACTCCATGGAAGCTCAAGTCTTTTAAACAAAATGGTGCAGTATTTGCATACGACCTATGAACTCCTGGCACACTTCGAATCATCTCTAGATTATTTATAATGGCTGGTATAATGTAAATACTATAAACAGTTCTACACCAAACTGTTCAGGTGGTGATAAGAAAAATATTCTAGCCGGGCGGTGGTGGCGCACGCCTTTAATCCCAGCCCTCGGGAGGCAGAGGCAGGCGGATCTCTGTGAGTTCGAGACCAGCCTGGTCTAC